CTTCATCACCAATGAGTGCTCATTGCGGAGGATTAGGTATTCTCAGAAACAGGTGCGTCTCCAGTGAGGTTTGGAGGCGGTGGGTTGCAGAGGCAAAAGTAGGGCTTAGTTGCCCTTTTTTTTTTTTTAAATTGTTACTTTGACGGAATGCGGGGCAAGGCATCTCCCTTTTTTTATGTTTCGATAGTTACTCCCGATTTTATTTTTAAATGGTTTCCGGTTGTTTTTTCACTTGTCAACAAACCAATGGTCACCCCGCTTTCTCGGGGTGGGGGGCAGTCTGGCTTGGGGGTGGCAACTGCCCCTTTCGCACCCCTCTGCCGACGCCCATGAGCGTACATACAGATAGCTCGCTCGGTTGCGTACTGTACTGTTTTGATGGCGCATGTCCAGTGTGGAGCACGGAAAGCTAACGCTAACGCAAACGCGCAGTGCTTGCGTTTACTCCTATATACAATACTAAAACTCTCTATTGCTTGCTGAAAACAAAAAGCTGTCTTCTATTCGCTCCCTTCCGGACGACGCTTTAGCGGTTTCCAAGTGGTGTTCCCATAACCTACTCATTCTAAACGAGCTGAACACGAAGACAATGTTTGTACTTTGTGATCCTGAGATTTTTGTTGACTTTATATGGAATTTTTATCAACTATTTGTAACGCCTCGGTTAGGACTCTTGGTGCAGTATCTCGCTTCACGAGGTAATTTTATTTACCTGCATGTTTCATGCGGCTATTTTGTTGCTTGGTGCGCATAAACTTCAATTTGCGTACATCGTTTGAAATTATACTGACCATCCTCTACCGCACATTGTTTGAAGACGGTTCATAGAAATTATCTATAACAGACATCTTGCGGGCAAGTGTCTGTCATAGATAATTTCTATTCACCAACCCCTACAGCTATGACAGATTACCGAAGAAACTGGGATTATGTTCTTCATTAATAGACAATGTTTACATAATTGTTTTTATATAAGGCTGTCAATGCAGCCTCCTACCAGTCCAGTTACCCTTAATGATCTTTTTATCCTTGGTATCTTTTTTATACGTAGCCGATTACAACAATGATTACAACTCGACCATAATGAGCTCGGCCAATCTGGAATACACATATTTTTGTGACATGAACCATATAGCCTTCTATCCGGGAAAAGGCCGGTGCTTTCAACGCCAGAACGATAGACAGCCAGGTTGCGGTCAAAGAGGCAGAAGAAGCAGCAGACGAGAAGGAAAGCTACACAGGTGTCATAAGGCGAACCAATCCTCTCTTCTTTTTGTATTTTGGAGGAGAAACTTGGGGTAAAAAACGACCGGCTGTTTGCCCTTTTCTTCTAGGGGGAGTATGAGCAAATATTTTACTAGGTATGAGGATGCACTGAGGGATTGGGAAAGGAGGCTATGTCGTCAATGGGCATGGGCTGCGAAAAAAAAGAGAAAAAAGCATACAATTTGTTTTGCAAAAAAGAATAGAAAAAGAAACACGAAATAGAGAACAGTTTTAGGAAGTCTCCGCAGATTTCTGAGGGCGCCATCACCACATTGCATCCTCATTCTCTCATGTTCTGTCGTTCCGCCCTTTCCAGTTTTGGCGGCTTGTTCTGGCATCGAAAAATTATGCTTTCCCCCTTTATAGGAGAGCATTACCATTTTCCCGACGAACGATCGAGCCACTAGTGTGCACAAAATTATGACCGTCCTTGTCTCTTTTTTTTTTCCCGCTTCATACATTTTTTCTTATTATTATTACTTCTATGACAGTGTACCACTTTTTTATCTTTTGACTTTTATTTCATTATTGTTATTATTATATTCAATTCGTATTAGAAATTTAGAATATTTACCCACGGATAGCTTTTAGCTATCATACACGAAGGGCGCTGGTACAAAGTGGAGAAAGCAATCTAGAAAACTCAGGTCGACATTTTTTTATCTCAACTCAAAAGAGCTATTTTACACTCACTGCAGTTGCGACTCCGGCCAACCGGCCCACACCACGGCACAGTGGAAGCAACCGTATACCTTGCAATGACTCGTTTACTCGCGGAGTCTACAGTATACTATCAGCAACCTTTCCAATGACCCTCATCGGCAACTTCTGCACATTTATACTATTTCCGCGGAAGTAATGAGCTGTGCATGGCCACTGCAATTCTGCCCGTCAACAAAATAAAATTAGATTTAGGGCGACCCGAAAAATTTTTCATGGTACCGCAATTGTATACAAATATGTTATTTTGTGGGTGAAAAAACTGTCCAAACAACACACAACAAATGCTGTGCACAAAAAAACAACAACAAATTACTAGTGCTTTTTGAAAACTTGGAAGTAGCAGAATCTAGTAGAAGTAACGGTTGAAAAACATGGGTGTAGAAGGAGAGGGGGGGAGGCAAAGAGCACTCTCCCTGTGATCAAGTGGGCTTTTGGAACAGCTGAGGTCTACAGGGGGGAAAGGAAGGGAGAGAAAGCAAGAGAGAGCCTGCCATGTTTGAGAAACGATGGGGAGAAGGAGAGCAGTGCCTCTGCTGTAGAGTGGCGTTTAGCGTTCATACATGAACATTTCTTTTGCCGGGAAGGGGCACTGACAGCTACCGCTGTAAGAATACTGAGTCTCAACTGTCCACCTTGTTTCGGTAGTTCTCAAAAACTACCTACACACTTTTCAAGAGCACATCAAGCAGCATTGTTGGTCGCCATTTCTTGCGCATGTAGTATGTAAATGGATCAGAATCCTCGCCGAACAATGCTGGTACCCGTTCTGGGTACGAGGTGGGCAGAGTTCATGCCGAACGCTGATGCAGCTCTTGTGTCCTATAAATGCTCAGAATATATGTGCCCGACACGGGTGGGCACGGAGAATTTGCGCAGCAGCTACTGGGTGCCACGCTCTTCTGAAAAGGATATAAGGACTTTCAGGAAGAGGACCTTGGCAGGTTTTTGTAACCGACGGGCAAAGCGAGGGAGTGTATTTGGGGGGTCAGAAAACCTCCCAACATGGTTTCACAATTTTTTTTCTTCTCTTTTGCAAACACTATAAAAACATGAAAGTGGATATCCTAAGTGTTTCAGCAAGAGTCTCGGTTCATAGAGCAAGAACACTACGATGAAAAGGAGGGTAGCCAAGTTTACATTTTTCTTCATTCACAATGTCATTTTTATCCACCCATCATCTTCCTAAGAGCTGTTCTCTATCATGACATAGGTAATCCTCGAAACTGCAGGTAAAAGAAACATAAACACAGCTGAAAGGTCTCAAACACAGCTTTTAGTCTGTCTAATTAAATTTAACATAGGCCACAATGGAAGGATATCTTATATATGACTTCTGATATACATTCTACATCTTTTTCTCTATTTCCTCACACAACCTATACTTGTTAATGCACCATGCAAAAAGCACTGCCAACACTAAACCTGTTGGCTAGTGCTGATATGTTGTGGGAAATTCCAAGAAAGTAGTATTACTGCATGGTGCACGTTAAAGACCCCAGGCTAGCAGTTGTACCGCACTCGCTAGATTGCTCATCTACAGCTGAGACACCAGATGCCCATTGAGGCTGACTGACTTCTGGCTGTATAAACATACACACACCAATTTACTTTGCTTGCCATGAAAGTAGGGAAGGACCACCTGCTTAGAAGGTTTTTTACTTTTCTGAGATGCCTTTTTTGGACATTATTCTTTCATAAAAGTAACCGTCCCCAGCCTTGAGTAATCAGTTTTTCAGGGAGGGGACAATGGCGTGTCTGTACCTTAGATGTTTTCGTTAACGTTTCGTGCGAGTCACAAACATATTTCTTGAATCCCCTCTGGGATCCCCGAGTGAAATCCAGCTGTTCACCCCTGGCTACGGCGTGACACTGCTCCTTTGCTAAAATATACAGTCATGTTATACGCTAACACGCAGCTTTGACGTCACGCCGCTGCTTTGGTGTTGCTATCGGAACGGCACATGCGTAGACGCTTCAGATCATGCGAAGCTGGTATCTGCGCACGCGCAGTGTCGCCCCCCACGTGGGCAAACGCGGGGTTGCTTGTAAACGGTGCACTGGTCTACTTGTTTCTTCTTCTAATATAGGTGTAATAGAAGAGAAAGTGGAGATTTTCCTTTTTATCCCCTTTCTGCTCCTTCCTTCCAACATTACCAGAAAAGCAAGACATCCCCCAACAGAAGTTCCTGCTTACTTCGCCGTTTGTAGCCAGTGTGCTGTTATACATGTGCGCCAAGCTCAAACTGAAAAACTTGCCTAAGGCCTTGTCAGAGCAGCACCATGATTCAAACCTTTTAACTTCTGAAGTATGCATAGCCTTTTTTCTTCCATGTGTGGGCTTTCAGCAATGCACCAATCATAAAAAACACGATGATTGTGCAACAATTTGTTTGGGATTGGCCCAGTCAAAATGGGCGAATTGCATGCGTCCAATGCGGGTTATCCTCCAAGCTGTCAGCGATGATGATTGTAGACTCGAGCGGGTCTCTCGCAGCTTCAAGAAACTTCAAACCCATCCCTCAATTTCTGAACTTGAAAATTATCAAAACAAAAAACATACAGGGCTCTTATTGACCACGAGACTGGATAGGCACGAGTTCTGCGGTGAAGCGAAAATGCTTTAAATTAGCTCGAAGCGCAGCAAGGGCTACGGGCAGGTGGTGAAAGGCTTGAAACAGGCACGAGAGCTAAAAGCTTGCACTTTTATGGTCTTCCTTGAATTCAGTGTGCCACGCATGTGTATTCGAGAATCGTGTCCAGGACAATAGGAGACAATGTTCACGAACAAAAAAACACACAATGGATATAAACAAAAGTGCATATCTACATTTTTGTTGGTGGCCCTTGAGAAGAGGCAAAAGCAACAAGCCAAGGCAGCTGAGACATAACTACAACGTAAGATTATGGATAAAGACGTAAAAAGAAGGACAAATATGTACAAGTAGCATTTAGCAGAGGGACATACCTATATAGGTGAAATCCCTGACCGAACGTCTTATTCCTTTCCACAGAAACCATTAGATGGAAGCCACCAGGAACCTTCCATACCGGCCAGCACCGCCTCTCCAGTCCAAACGGTCATGACGGACCCCATACTCCCACACATCAACCGGTCAAGAGATGCGGCCAGTGGTGCCAGCGTCACCTACTCTGTCACAATTCCTGGCTCCGGCAGAAAGCCTGTGTTTCAACCCCACCAGCCACCACTCGCACTGGGGACAGCGATGACGACGCCATCCCCGAGTAACAGCGTGGCTGGAACGGCTAGCCGAGCTAGCCGCAACATGCAACCGGACATTGGCCTGATGCACGGCTTCCAACTGAAAGTTACAAGTGCGCCGTTCCGGGTGGGCCCCCAGGAGAGAGCCCACCGGTTCCTGAGAGGCCAGCGCCCGGACAATCCGTCGATCGTTGGAGGCGTACCAAACTTCCAGAGAAGCAAACTTCAAAACGCCTCGCTGGCAAGCAACCACACCTACACCGAGGAGACGCCCGATACGGAAGGAGAAGAACGGAGACTTCTAGCGCTCCTGCCCCAGCTGCTGGCCCAGACGAAGAGCAAGATCGGCAAGGACAACGCCAAGGAGTACGTCGACTGGCTGGCCAACATCACGAGAAACCTCACACACAGTTCTAAGCAGCTGAGCAGCAGCAAGGCGCTGCAGAGGACTCCGGATCGCAAACCCGCCTCGAACGCGACGCACAACAGTTACGAGGAGTCCGCAGGGTCTCCCAGCGGTGCAGTGCGCAAGCCAGTGGAAGACAGGATCTGCATCATCCTCCACAGCATGGGCGACGAAGCGCGCCTCAAGTTGATGGAACAGCTGACGAGGATGACCTATCCCACCGCCACTGCGCCCAACACGCTAGGAGGACGACCGACAGTTCAGACCCTTCCGGGAAACGGCAGTGCGGCGCACAACCTCGAAACCGGAAAGGTCAGGACGCAGCTGGGAAAGACCTTCAAGACCTTCCACCTGACGCAGCAGCAACGCCTGGAGGAAGCTGAAACCGAGACACCTAGGAATGCGTCCCACGGCGACGCTCAAGGAGGACCGCAGCGAGCCGAAGGCCCGCAGCCAGATGAACCGATGGACATCTTCACGGAGCAGGTTCAGGAACAATGGGAGGACTTTGTGGGAAAGCTGAAGCAGGTGGCCCGTGAGACCTGGGACCATGTGGCGCGACAGATGGCGCGGTCCCTCGAGAAACTGAACGCCTGAGGGATGGATTGCTTCTTACTAGGGTGTTTTCCGTGAGCCCTCTGTATTAAGGAATCCACCACTTTAGAAACAACTGGCGCCACCTGACGGAAATTGGGGTTCTAGGATTCCCAGGATGCAACAATGCGTGCATTGGGGAGAAGAGGGCAGAAGTGCCTTAGAACAAACTTGGACGGGGGGGGGGGGGGGGGGGTTCAAAAGGAGCAGCCACATTAGGCACAAAAGGGACTTTGGGGAGCTTAATCTACGTCAGTGCTCCTCAGTGGAGCCAGCGGGATCTAGCTTCCTCGGTCAAGAAAGTGCCCGCGTCTCGCTTGAACCCGTGCTAACATACTTTCACACCCGAACCTCCTGAACCAGCGATTTCCAAAAACAGTTCATACTAATGGATGATAATAATGCATGGTCTGCTAAGATTAACACTCGCAAATGAATCGTTCTGCACCATTGTGCGTGAGTTTCCTTGACCAGATCTTTCTTTTCAAACAAATGTCTCATAATTCTGCTGGCAGAGTAAATTGCTTAAAAATACCGACACGTGGGAAAGATACTTTGTTATCCCGAAGCTATACCTTGACAGGAGAATGGCAAGCAACTAGGGCTAGTTGCTAAGTGTCCATGGTAAAAAGAAAGCGGATAAAACAAAAACAGAAATAGAGAAGAGAACAAGCATCTTGTCTCCCCTCTTTTGTCTTATGCATGCATTAACAACTGCAAGCGGTGAAACGGCATCCCTATCAGTTGCATGGCCCTTGTTGATGAGATCAGTCACGATTGCTCAAATCGAATCTGGTTTTGGAATGGCACAGAATGGCATAATGTATGTCGTACGTATTAACTATCCCGGTTGGTCAGACTGGTAAAAGGGAATCGAGGTTCGTGAGAATAGTAGGCTCCAAGTACCTCTCCATCTAGACAATTTAGTGACATAGTACTAAATCTGACTCAGAAACTTTAAATCGGACAGCTGAGCAACGTGCACGTTTAAGCCCTCACCAGATGGGGCGTTCTCAAGGTCACCAACAAAAATGCGATGCACGGGCCGACACCGAGATGTCTCCAGGACAGATATCGGCACAGAGCAATGTTCGCCGACACAAGGCAAAGCGCGTTAATAGCACCCCATGTGGTTGGACCCTTGTCACTAGGCATGCTGCGCAAATTCTGCATACTCATCGATGGTGAATTAATTAGAGAAATGAACCAATGATAAAATGCTTCAAGAGAAATGAGGTTTCTGGAGCATGATTCGGGCGAAATAAAAGCCCAGGGACTTTGTAAGCGGTCCTTGCTGCACACTAAATTGAGTGGGGAAGTCAGAGCTTGAGACTTCATGTCGCTTTCATCTCCCAAGTGAGACGTAGATAGATGACGGTATTCTTTTTGATAGGCGTTGCCTGTTGCATGTGGCATGCAATGCTGCCTATAATTGTACTAATCTCAATGGTGCTGCAGTGGCAACTGATTATGACCCTAACCTGATTTTGACCCGTTGCACCCTTCCATCTTTGCATTCACCAAGAAAATGAAATCAACTGGCACAAGACAGCAAACAATGCTTGAATGATGCTGTTAGATGTCATTTGCACAGCATCCCCATCAGTAACTTCACCTGTAGTTGCTGACATATTAAGAGTGCAGGACAAGATCCTCCCACAAAGCCTTCCACTCTCTCCACTTTAACAGAGCAAATGCTGGATGCAGGCAAGGAGGGACTTGCCTCCTCCCCAGAGTTCACTTTGTCAAGATGAAAAAGTTGAGGACCTTGTGGAAGTAGCTTGTCCTACACCTGTCACCAACTATAGCTGCTCTGTTCATGTTCTTCTTGCACTGTCCTTCTTGCGTATAGAGCAATGTACAGAAGTGAACGGTCTGTACACATTTGAGGAAAACGCCTTTTCTACGGTCCTCAAAGGCACTCGGATAGTTCCTTGTAAGAAGAACTCACCTGTAACTGGTACTGTGCTTGTTGACATTGTTTATTAGAAGCGAACACCCACTGACAGTCCATGAGTATTCGTGCAAATTTCTATATTTCTATAGCTCTTCTGGTCAGCTCGCCTATTGTTGAGGATAATTGCAGCACTGCTGCCGGCACCACAGAGCTTGCTCGAGCCCAGTTACTCTAATGTGCGAGATGTAAACCTTGTATATTCATTATCCCATAATCCTTATTACACGGATGTTCCTTGCAATCATTTATCCCAATTACGGAAAATTTGACTACTTTAGTACAGGCCAACCAAAGTAATTGCTTAGTTGGTACTTTTCTCACATTACCTTGATTTTATTTCTCGAAGGACCCATTTACTGTTTTCAATAAATGTATAGTAGAGCGTAGAAGTGAAATATGGAGAAACCATGGCAGTTTTGTACTGCGGTTTTACTGCAGAGTAAACTGATGATGAGAGTCCCACCATGCACAGTCTTTTTTTTTCTCTCTTTTCAGTTTTGCCCCCTGTCCGTGGTCATAATATGGCAAATGTGAGGGCAATTAAAATTATCTGCACTCTGGCTGCAGAATTTATTTCAATCAAAACCTTTCCAAACCTAAGCCTGCCATGGATTATAGGCAAAGCTATGGCTGATTTTAAAACAATTTGTTGCATCGTCCACTGTCACTTGTCTATCTGACAGAAACAGTTTGCGTGCAAGCTCAAGGTCGTCATCAGTCGTGGACGGGCGTCTGGTTACTTCTTTGTAGACGACGCTCGTGTGTCTTTCCTTCAACTTCTGTATCTATTCACACACACTTCTTTGCAACAAGACACTTTCTTCATACTGTGCACAGTCTTCAATAACTATCGGCACAAGATATGCCCTAGGACCACCAAAAACAATGGCTCCCCCATCTGTGTAAATCACAAGTGAGGCAGCCATCGTTTCTCGCATATCCAAACAGACTTGAGTTCAAATCTGTGCAACAGCGACTGAAGAGACAGCAACTTCACACGAAAAGCGACGACAAGACAGTGCGGCCAAAAAAAGTTTTAAGATAACCGGAGCATGGACAATTTTTTAATCACCCTTGTACAGTTACTGTAAGATGCCGGGAGAATGCCCACCCCACTTTTACTGAAAAATGGATTAACCTAGACATGGGTGCTTGTATGGTCAAATAAGGCGCTTACCGTATAATTTACAGAATTCCCAAGTTTGGGAAATGTTAATAGTGGGCGCTTCAAAGAAGTGGGTGCTTCCGCGCTATTTTACGGTATGGTTATTGAAACTGTGCTTGACACCCCTTCTGGTACTGCCTTGACTTTAGGCAAATAGCTGTAACACCTGTGGAATCCAAAGAACTGTCCATTGTCCAATCTTCCCCACAGATGAGGTGTACTCATGCAGATAGTTAACTGCTTCATTTTGGAAATGACCTGTTCGAAATTCAGGGGCTACATCCAAATTGAGCAGAGTTGGACGAGATTAGGGAAGGGAGTACTAGGTCATCAGATATACCAAATATATGTGAGCTCAGTCACTAATAGAGCTGAGAAAATGAGCCCAGTGACATGACAAGCCACTTTCACGATGGTGCCGAAAACTCTTAGCCCAACTGTATCTTTTCCTTGCATGTTACTCAGATGTAATGAATGCTTAGCTTAGTTTCATCAGCGTCATTTCTGGCGACGCCGGCAACTTCAACTGTACGAATAAATGGTCCTTTTCCCAAAGCTTGTGTTACGCATTACATAAAACTTGCAATTGCAGCTTCTTTGTGAGGGGTGTCGAATCTAACCCGAATCGAAAACTGGAGCAAAAACCGATATGTCTGACCAAACTAGGACAAAACCAAAATTTGACATTCAATATTGAACCCGAGCCGGTACAAAACCGGAATAGGGAGGAGTGTTTGTAAGTCGTTTTTGGAACACACGGTTCCGAAATCATGAACGGTGCAGCTGCTCTGTTCAGTGAAACCGTACGTGAAATTTAGCATGTTTTTGTTTATCGCAAAACTGGCACAATCATGTAAACAATGACAATGATTGCCTTTGATCGGCTGTGCCATCTTGTAATAGACATCTGGTGCGTTCTGCAGCATGCAGATCCGTGGCTCGTGCTTCACGGCATGCCACTGATGTAAACGAGACGACAGAGGTCAGAATTCCAAGAGCTCAGAAGCGAAATGGAGTAAAAAAAAACTACACAAGCATTGTCATTCTGACAAAGACCAGGGAGTACAGAATGTATCCCGCAAAAAGCACACCCCATGTATCGCTTGTGCTAGATTTTTCTCTATATTTATTACCTTTTTTTCAATATTCGTATTATTTATTTCTTTAATTTTATAAAAATGTCTTGCTTTATTATTATTTTATTTATTTTCTTCACTTTTTATTATTTTTATTTCAAACCTTTTACATTTGCATTTAAATGAAATCATTTACCCTTCCAGATTGTCTGTGCTGGTAGCTCAGTGGCTATGCAGAGTGCAAGTTCGTCTGCTTCTTGCACAGTGGTTGCGATAAAGTCAGAACTCCGAGTTCATATTGGCTGATTGAAAAAAAGTAGAGAGTAGACCTCATGACATCTAGCATTGAAGTCTCCCCACTATCCTTTCAATCAAAGCCAATCAGGGCTCAATGTCGTCCCGACGTCACTGCAACTCCTGCGCAAGAAGCAGACGACTTGCTCTCCGCATACTGTCCCTCTGCCACCGCACCAACCCAGGTTCTACCGGAGTTCAAACATTTTATACAAACTTTATATACAACCTAAGGTCTTTAACGATCCTAGCGTGTCACTTGTTCATGATGCTCACTGTGACTATTATTTGTGACAATTTTCTCATAGAAAATGACTAACAAAACACATTCTGTGTTAAAAGGATCTGAAGGACCACAAAGGTAGGTGATGTGCCCCTATTCTCAACTTTAACGATCATTCATGTTGTGTGCCGTCGAACCAAATCATCTCGTCTGCTCGCGATTATGAGCAGTCCTTAGAGTGATTTGGTTTGACCTCTCAAATGAGACAAAGAGTAGCAGAAGGACAAACCACCTCCTGGTGTTTTAAGCCTAACGTTCGGCCGGACTGGCTGAGTCAGTCGCCCAAACAACCGCCATCTTGTATTTACCCCGAGTCGTCAACGATCCTGGCTGCGCTGCGATGACGACTCCAGCAGCCAGAATGAGAGAAACAAACGAGAAGCGCATCCCAAAGTTCCCAACGACGTACACGCGCCTGTGCAATTACCGTATAATCACGTGTATGGGCTGCACCCCTTCCTTTTGATGAGTGGCGCCAGTGTGGCCTGCCGTGCTGACCGAGCTGCCGTGTTTACACCATTCTCCGCAGCATGGTGCCCCTGGTGCACAGGGCACAGAGGCCCGGCTGTCTCCACTTTTGGCTCTTTCCACATTCCAATCCTGTCCTCCTAATGGCTGGGTGGCTGCCTCGCAACAACCAAAACTACGAGACAGCACCACCGGCGCCGCTGTTCGTGGAAGATTTTCTGGGCAAGGTTTAGCCTCCACAATGGGCAAGCACTTGACCAGCTACACGGCTGGTTTTAAACTGAAAGTTGTGGCTTTCGCCCAGGAACACAGCAAGCGTGCAGCACGATGGCACTACGACGTTGACGAGAAGTGTGTGCGGCACCGGTGCGACCAGAAAATGCTTTGGCCAGCACGAACAAAACAAGGCGCGCATTCCGCAGCAAGGCCTGCAAGTTCCCCGAGCTGGAGAATGAGCTCTTCAACTATGTGAAAGAAGTGTGCAATAATGAGTATGCCCTCTCGACTGACATGTTGAGAATGAAGGCACTGCAACTGGCGCGTGCGAAGGACGTGCCTCCTGAAGATTTTAAAGCGAGCGCCGGATAGATCCGAACATTTATGAAGAGGAAAGATCTCTCCATTCGATGAAGGACAACCATGTGCCAGCAGCTTCCTGAATAATATGAGGACAAGCTTCTCAGCTTTCAGAAATATGTTATTGGGCTGCGGAAGGAGCACCAATACACCATGTCCCAAATTGGGAATGCCGATCAGACCCTGGTTTGGTTTGATTCGCCGGAGAACTGTACGGTAAATGTCAAAGGCGAAAAGAGTGTGCTCGTCTGTACCATGGGAGCGGAACACCAGCGTTGCACTGTTATGCTCGGCATCACCGCAGATGGGCGAAAACTGCCACCGTACGTGATATTTTAAGAAGAAAAGGGTTCCTGCCGAAGAGTTTCCCCGTGGAATCATTGTCCGCGCGCAGGAAAAGGGCTGGATGGATGAGGAACTGGTAGTCGAGTGGCTGAAAACCGTTTGGGGAAACCACCCCGGGGCTATGCTAGCGAAGAAGTCCCTGCTGGTGCTGGATAGCTTTCGCGGTCATCTGACAGAAAAACTGAAGGCGGAGCTGCGTGAAAAGCACACAGACCTAGCCGTCATACCGGGCGGGCTTACAGGCATGCTGCAGCCCCTCGGTGTGAGTGTCAATCGGCCCTTCAAGGTGGAGTTCTGTCGATGCTACACCAGATGAATGGCCAGCGAGAACCATCAGAAGACGCCCACTGGACGGCTCAAGAGAGCATCTTTGTCGACTCTAGCCGGATAGATTGCGACCACGTGGATTGCAGTCTCACTCGACGTCGTTGCAAAGAGCTTCAAAGAGACCGGAATCTCAAACAACCTTGACGGCACCGAGGATGACCTCGTGTGGGAGTGCGTCTCCGAAGAGTCATACACCAGCGCCGAGGGCAGCTCAAGTGACCAGGAGTGAGGCCCAATAAAAGATTTCTGGGACCAGTGCATTTGACGGGAAGTATGTCCGTTTTTGCATGCACATATACATCAATATTTTTTTTAAAATTTGTGTCTGGGCCGCACCTCAAAAGTCGGCCTTCAAATTAAAAAAAAAAAAAAATATGCGGCCCTTACATGAGCTTTTATGGTATGTCAACGACGTGCATGAGGACGAACTGTTTGCATCGAAATGAATGGCTAAAACTGCCTAGTACAAAAGCTATCCAAGAGCCCCGGTCCAAACAGGCATATCAATGTCTCGTCAGACAGGGATTAATGCAGCGGAGCGAGAATGGCGGAAGTTATACGCATCATCTCAACGTGGTTCAGTTGCCGTGTTGCCATTTCTCCAAGGTGTCAAAAAAAAATTACTCACATTTGTGCGTTGAGTTGGCTGAACTTCCCTAAGCAGCTCGTGGTTCAGCCCCCGCACCTCCAGGGACAGCAAGCCCACGCCAGCCTCTTCTGCTGACAAAGAGACAGACGAATGTTGTCAAGGGACGATGCCAAAATATTCCCACTTTGGCCAAATAAATGTGGGAATTCTTCTACGTCACCTATGAAGCAAAGAGAAAAAAAACACCTTTTCTTGTGCACACTAGTTTTTATTTGAAAAAAAGTAGATTAAGGTACCCCTCAACTCGTACTGTTTTCTAAGCGAGGAGTCCAGTAACGTCACAGAGGATACCACATTCAGTTCAATCTTCAGGGCCGAAGCCCCCTCCCCTCGCCACAATCGTCGACTTTACAAAGGCCGGTTCAGCTAAATAGAACACCACACCCACTTAGCATCGTTGAAGGTCGCGGCGAGCGACCGGGACCAAAGACGGATATTCGCAAAAAGATGGGGAGGGTATGTTGACTTCCAATAAATGGAGCCACAAAAGCTTGGGTACTTCCAATGATGTCGCACCGTGGCTCTGATGATCGCATCTCGCGGCTGTAGATCAACAAGAAAAGGTGTGTTTTCCTTCGCGATTACGTGGCGGAATTGCAGTATTTCGGTGGAAGGCGGTGCATTTGCTCTCCCTTGTGCCGAGATAAACGGTATAAAAAAAAGTATAAGCTGCAGATTCAGATTCTTTCACAATGCTAAAATCGTTGCACACGTCGAACGCCATAAACTACCGGGCAAGCACCAACCAAAAGTTAGAGGTAACCAAGCAAAAAGGGCAATGGCCACTCACTGAATCCGAAAGCGGAAAAACGGAATGGGCATATGGTAAGGTAGGCCTTTGTTTGATCTGATGGAATGGTATAAGAGTAGTGTAGTGGTGTGGCAGAACCACCTCGCTCCAGCATGCACACATAAAGCCTTGCTGCCTTGCACCGGCGTGTTTAGAGAAGTAGACGCCCGGAGTTTTCTTGCAACTTTTAGCATGCAACTTTTAATGGAATATTTGTAAATTTTCTAATCGAATACGAATCGGATAAGAAAAATATTCTATTCGGATTTGAAATTTTGAATAATCGCATAAAAAGAAAAATCTGTTCGAATGTTACCACAGATGTGTAGATATACTCTTTTGCAGTACAGAAAGCAATACTTTGTTAATACAGTTCCGTGACAAATTGAAGCTAGAGAAGACTGCAATGGAGAGGAGACAGCTAGGCCTACTAGTCAACGTAAATGTGATGGCGGGCAACGTCACAACTTGAAGAACCACACTGAGAAAAATGGCTCAAATTCATGCCGTTCTGGGTAGCCTGGAGGCCTTCAAATGCGCATTTAACTAATTTAGCGGTCATACCTGGCCACTACTTATTTTTATACATCAAATATAAAGATTTAAAAATAACACTAAAACACCATAAAACCCGAAATCAAATCTTTTGCAAAATATTGCCGCTTTTCAACTTGCATCTTCACCTAAAGGGACACTGACAGGGCATTTGTGCTCGCCGAGGTCTTTAGTTGTACGTGATATATGAGAGCCTAAATACTAAGAACAGAATTTTCGGCTCGAAATTCAGTTTCTTTTTGCCCGAAAACTGTCGATAAAGAACTGGCCGGCTTGAGTCGCGCTCACTCTCCTTTCCGTGGTCACGGGCCGTTTCCTAAGGTTTAGACACAACCACCAAATTTAATCAAAGTCGTTGGTCATTGAAGGCACACACTCAATATTAAAAATAGAAAAAAACATGAAACTTATTTTTTGTGGCTTCTAAAAAGCTGCAAATACGTTGATTGAAAATAAAAAAGTTGCACAGAGAAGCGGAAGCATTCTGTGCGTTCACTGCGTAATTCTCAACATGGCGTCGTTTCACGTATCGTGGGACTCGCGGGGATGGCGATGACAGCGGACGACGGGCGTGGAACCTCTACTTCAGAACTGTCGTTCGCGGTCCGGTTGAATTCCGTCTACATTTGAAAGAGAAATTTTGGACCGATCAAAAGAACTGGCATTCATCCCGTACGACACACCCGACCACCGAGCCGATTTGCACGAAGACGTCGCCAAGCCGTCGCCCCCTTCTCGTGGCTGAACACATGGCTCGCGTAAATGTGAAGCACGAAGTGCGTACTTCCAGTTGAAAATGCACGCGTACGATTTCTTTACTAGGTGCGAATGTGGTTAATGCATGGTGCTGCCCGACTTTGACCCAGGAGTGCTTTTGCTGGAGGACAATCGGCAGCAAACGTCCCAACCTACAGTTGACCGGCTGCATTATTAATAAAAAAAAAAGGACGCTACCGGAGTAGCTCAGTGGAAAGATGTTCGCTTCACACGCGGCAGGACCGGGTTCAATGGAAGCGTATGTTTCTTTTTTTTTTTTCGAAAGTTTTCTGATATTTGCGCTGTTTTTTTACAATTGTCACTGAAAAAAAAAAAATCTTGTGGACGAAAAGTTGCTGAACTAAATGGTATGAGATTTCCTTTTTGACACCTGCGAACTCGATGTAATCACTTTCCGCAAAATGCAAGGAGCATATAAATCGGGTAGCATCCGCTTTCCGAGGTGTCCGTAAATGTTCTACAGGAATTGCAGCCAGCCATTGGTCCCGACCTTGTTCATCTTTCAGAAACATGTACAGACTCTGCCGCACAATGCCACTTTTTTCGGACGCAGGACATCTGAGGCGGCTTTTCAAGCAACATCTTGGGGGTATTCTTTTCGGAGCCAATCCCGGAAATTCACCAAGGGCACTCACTACTCAACTCCAACTCTTCAATGCAGAAAACAACTTATCTTGAAGTGCAGAACAGCGAGCGGAACAAACATAACTGCAAAGGAATCGCACGGCAAACGATTCCCCGCCACACATGTCGTCTGCTACACGAAGAAAAAAAAAGCGCACGGTCACGTGTAACTACGTGGCTTCCACCACTCCACTCTCTCCTCTCCACTTCTTCGACCTCCGTGCGCAAGTTTTGGTTTCGGTTTCAAACAGTTGCGTTTTGTGGCTTTATTTAAAAATATATGTGACTCTGTTCCAAAATATTAATTGGGTAGTCTTCCGACACCATAATAAAACAAGTGTCAAAAAAAAATAAAAAAAATAAAAAATTGGGGGGTGTCAATGTCTCTTTAAAGCTTGACATGCAAACATGAATTCTTCATGGAAGAAGATTTCTCTCCTTTTCTTTGTATTCCTGCTCCAATTTTCTTCTCATTTCTTTATGTTCTTCTCGTATGCTATGCGTCTCAGCAGTTTATAACCCCCAAACCTGAAAAACAGGGATTACCGTATTTACTCGCATAATAAACACACCCCCACAACACGCATCAATATTTTGACTTTTTCTTTCCCCTCCCGTAATCAACGCACCTCTGATTTTCGGATCCGTGAGTCTCGAACTGCATCCAATTTAGCAAGCCACCAAGCCAGTTTTCTTTTGCCGCCAAGCGGTCAGGCCAAGTCAAGCCAAGGCAAGCCAAGCCAGGCTGCTCTCGTAATGGCCGCAAGTGTGTAGTTGCGATAGTTACGTAAGTGATCAACCGTGAAACCGAGTGTCGCGCACACTTGACGAAGCTTGGGTGAAGGAAATGCCAAGCCCCGGACATTTTTCACCTATTGGATGCATTGATGCGAACAAACAAGCTATCGTCTGTGGTCTGCTTTCGGACAGTGAAATCGTGAAAGTGGTTAGGCCTCATTTCATATACTCCGGGTAAATGTGTTTGTTTAATCCGCAACAAAACGGCACAGCAAGGTGCATGCTGTGCTGTAGGCTGAGAGTGTTTGGTAGCCTCTCCGTGAACGAAACTTGATCCGTAGGAGCGGGCTTCGGGGGTTGGCGGTTGGACTTCGTACGAGTTCTTATACGCGTAGTCGCGGATTATACCTGAGCGTGCCCGCCAGATGATACTAGCAATATATATCACCTAAAAACGGTCGTGTTGCTTTTCGTGCCGAATGAGCTTCATAGGGCACTTTTCCTTTGGCAAAAGGCACCCCAAAAGCGCCCTAAAAAGGTTTGCAATTTATAAAGCATGGTTATTGTGCCGCGCTCCTGACCAGACATGGGTGCGCCTCCATCACTGTGGCAGACGTGCCACAGTACCTTGCCATGCCGAAGACGACGCCTCTAGGCGTCGTCTTCGAGATCGTCCTTGAGGTCGTCCTAGAGGTCGTCCTCTAGGTGGCGTCCTCAAGGTCGTTCTCTAGGCGTCGTCCTTGAAGTCATCCAAGAAGTCGTCCTTGAGGTCGTCCTAGACATCGTACTCTAGATGTCGTCCTTGACGTCGTCCTCTAGGCATCGTCCTTGAGGTCATCCAAAAAGTCGTCCTAGACGTCATCGTTAGGGCGTTGTCCTAAACGTCGTAAAAATAACAGCTTTGCTGGTCCTCCATCTTCACGAGAAGTGGAAGGGCTCTACAATTTTTTACGGGAAGGACCATACTCCTTTTATGCCTAAGCTGACAGTACGGAGGAAGCTAAGTGCTTGTCGGACCACTCCCACGTCTATCTTTAGCCACGTGATTACGCTTCCGTCCGTACACACGCGCAGGGAGCGGGGTCAAGTGATGAAAGGGAGGCGGTTAATTGGTCTTGCGAGCAGGTAACTTCCACAGCACTGTCAACTCAAAAGTCATCGGAGATATTCTTTTTTTGTATAGCATTAGCAGCATTAAACTGCAGGTTGTGTATTCTTTTTTTTCATGATGCTTCAAGCTGAGTTTTGGCGGCACGGTGTATATTCAAGAGCGCAGTTATGTCACCAACAAATGACGACTCACATGTAGTGATGAAAACTATCAATTGTACTATCATTACCATCAATAGTGGAAGCCAAATTGGACTATTCATAGCGGGAAAAACGGCGAGGAGAAAATTGAGGAAGGTAAGCCTCCTCCTTTCTGCCTGGTCGGCCTTTAAGGGCAGACGACCAGGCTCTATATTCTACAAGGCTTCCCTCCTTTCCACATCTTCGAGCGAGGGAAGCGAAAGATGGAAAGAAGGAACTAAAAAAGGTGGGCATAGGTTTGCGTGCTCCGTTCGGATGGGGGGGTGGTTCAAAGCCAAGCAAGTGAGCATCTATTGCGCGAGCACGTGCCTGCAAAAAGGGTGTCCCCTCAATGGACGCGTCACAATCTTTGCGTCGGAGGATTAGCGAAAGAGCCTTCCAGGACCAGGAAATAAGAACCGAGTTTGTTTCTTGCACTGCACAATACGGCTTTGCTGGGTGCATCTTTGATTATCATAGTTTTTATTCAACGTGAATTGACGTTTTTTTTTAAATAACTGCTCCCCGTGTCAGAAGCCTAGATCGCATTGCGCAGGTGCAAAAATGTGAAGGCCACAAGGAAGGAAGCGTGAAGAAGCTTTTTTGTACAAACTTCAGTGCAAAAGATAAGCTGCAGATAAGCCACAATGTGTACCAAGGATAAGGTGGGGGAACTCAATCACTCACAGGCCACTGCATTTATGAAGCAGGATCTATCTCCCCTTTCTCAGGATGTCAAGATTTATTTTGCTCGAACACGCATCACATGTTTTCGTACTCACAACTTTCAAACCAGCGTCTGCGTGGAACTGTGCATGCGCAGAGAATGTTTTCCAAAATTGTAAACATCTCAACAAAAAAAAAAAAAAAATGACAAGAAGCACTTAACAACTAAGAACTTAACAACCAGTAGTATTTAGCAACATTGCCAAAGAAAAAACTCTAAAGGAACATCTCAAGAAATACCAGTGCACGGCAGGCTGACTAAAAACCTGCACTGACGTCAAAGGCATTGTAACTCACAGACTCGAGGCAGCTTGTCAATCGTGCTGGAATTGCTCTTTTGTAACCTAACCCCGTTTCTTTTTTTCTAGTTGGAGTCTATGGCCTAGCTGCTGTGGACTTAGTGGAGCAGGCGTAGGACAAGGGTAGGGGACAAGCGGGTAGACAGAGCAGGGGAGAAGGGGGCAGGAGGAAACAGGCAACTGTGGAAAGGGTAGCAGGGAGAGGAGGAAGCGAGGGAAAAGTGGAAAGTGCAAACTGGTTGTCGGCCTTTAATGCGGAATGCATTGGGAGTTCCCGAACGGCCTCCGAGGGGGTCAGGGGTACATGACTGGCAAAAATTTGAGAACCGCTGGGCTAAAGTATCAAGCTGCCCTGTTAGGACCCTGATTCGGCCAAATGCAGGCACTCTTTCGTTGCCACTCACCCGTAGAGGTGTCCAGCGCCGTGGCAGCTGCAGGTGCAAAGAAGTGCGCCATCTGGGAGACGCACTGCCCCGTGCCGGCCTCCCGGCTGTTCTTGGCAGGCTCAGAGGGGCAGTGCCGGGAAGTGCACTTCATTGGCTGCGGGAGGGGAGACAGATGCTACAACGCCCAATCGCAAAGGATCTCAGCTTCTTTTTAAGCATTTTTAGCACCAAAAAACTTACCATACCCTAAAATACTCCGATCAGTAAAGGCTCGCAAATGTGCCCAGAATGCGTCCGAATGGCGGATTTACCATGTTCATATTTGCCCACTCAACTTATAACTTGTTAAGTCACAAATGAAATAGTATGGCCATATACACGGGTTCTCAAAATGGGTTTCCAGGAACCCAGGGTGCCTCCAAAAACAAACCCTCGGAGGTTCCACGGGCTCCCAAATTTCCTCGACCGCTCAGCACGAGTGAACTATTCTCCCAGTTCAAGCACTGTTTTGGAAGCTCCGAGCCATCTTCTCATGCATAACTATAAGGCAACCATTCCTTAGTATATGCGCATTTATCTCAGCGGGCTTTTGCGCCGCTTAACTGCATCAACGCCAAGACCGGGAGAAGTTTATCGGCTACTGTCCAAAAGCACCAGGCGTACCTCGAGATAAAAAAGATTCTAGAACCCCTAACCTTATAGATGCCCGGTAGCAGGTCCTGGTTTGTGTCGCGCACTGACGCGCCACGACAAAAAAACTGAGATTTCATCAACTTTCCAATCACAAGGGGTATGTTTACCATAAGGTCCTGAGACATGCCCCCACACTTCCCAATGATAACCCGCCTCGATTCTTGGCTTGATTTGCTGTTTCCTTTTAAACACTGAAAGATAGCCCCCTTCTAATAATCGTAGTGTTCAGATCAAAGATGACCTCGGAGTAAATTCGGCTAGTTAGCTATCATCATCTTCATCATAATGCCTTTATTGGCGGGTATAAGCGAAAAGTGCAGACTGGGAAGTACAGTCATCTCTGCTTTATTGTCCCTTGCTGCGATAACAACTTTGAGAGGAAAATATGATTTAAAAATAGTGTTTTATTTCAACTTTTCTTGATTGCACACCGAAAGTTAGCCCACTCCTTATTTTCGCACAATTTGTTCTCGATTTTAGGCGGGCTATCTCTCGGGGTATAGGGGTACCTTGATTGCAGTTACTTTTACCAGAGTGCCTACACTCCGGTCACCCTTAAGCTGAGACTAGAAGGTCTGCCTTAAAGACCGACGACCAGTTCGCGCTTTCCACTTTTTTCCCACTTCCTCCTCTCCCCCTTCTACCGTGTCCACCGTTGCCTGTTTTCTCCTCCCCCAGGGTGAGGAGGATCTTCTGCCTTGCAGAATCCCAAATCTGGTCGTCGGCCTTTAAGTGCAAGCTTTCTGCCCTTGCTAATGCAAGTGTGAACATGCGGTCACGCACAGCCAAAGCACTGCGGAAGCCATCGAGCTCTCACCGAAGGCGGAGCATCTAGACTCAGCTTAAGGGTGAACGGAGTGTAGTAGGAATTCTGAAATCTGTTGCAGTGAGCATGTAAACGTCATACATTACGTTTTCAAGGACAAATTTTAGTGACTGTTCCCCAAAAGTAAAATCCCCGTTCTTTCAGCCTAAAGGCTGGTTCACACACTTGCAACTGCTTACAACCGATTGTGTTAAAACTTCCTGCGATCTCTAACGACAAGAAGACATGCTGGCCATCCATCGGGCAGCCATGAAACACGTGCAACTTCCGTGTAATGTTTTCTTTTTTTAAACATTATTCTTTCCCCTTCGGCTTGAAAAACTTTTGACACTGTTGTGAGCGGCCATTTCTCGTTGATACTGGTACATACATTTCATCTCGCAAATATTGCGAAACCTTTGTTCTAGTGAAATGCAGTTCCAAGGCCCACTACTGCACTTCCTCGTCATAAGAGATCACAAGAGGTCGTAATGCGCTCGGTCCTAAGCACTCACAGGTGTGCGAACTTAAGTAAAGACCTTGATCTTGAAAAATAAAAATGGTATTTCTTAAAACATTTTGTTTTTATATACAAGTTGCACGCAACATATTTTATAGTTAATACACTCAGGAAGTGTACATTTATAAAGCTACATCGATTCAAAGTTCCGTACTTGACCTGTTTACGAGCATGTTTAGAAAAACATTTCCTGTTTTCTCAGAGTTTTTTTTTTTTCTTTTTTTTAATTCAGAATTTAAATCTGAATACATTTTTTTAATGTTTGGATACCTCATAAGTCAGAGTGCAACGAAACAAATATTTCTGAAAAAAGTCAACTACAAAATGTTTGAATTGGCAAAGCTTTAACAACTCATTTCTAACCATCGACAAAAAAATTTCAACTTGCAACAACTTTTTCTAGGGCGAAGCTAAAATTATAAGAATGGTTTCGTTGCACTTTCCACTGGTTGTAGAGTATGCAAACATACTTTGTGCCATAGTTTGCCATAGCTGTTATTTCCTTGTAAAAGCAAATCGATAGAAATACAATGAGCTTCTGTTTGTGCTTAGCACCAAACATTAGGGTACGTGCGAGACATTAATGTAAATTGGATAAGAAATGACAAAAAAACGATCAAGACCAGGGTTCCCCCTTAGGCCTTGGCACAAGCAAGCTGAAACGCCTCGTGGGTGGCTCAGTTTCACCATACCTCGGATTCTGGGCCGGCAGCGGGCGAGTCGCCAAGCTCGGCGTCACCGCCGACGTCGCCCACTCGTAGCGCATGCTCCTCCTCGACACGCACTCGCAGCACCACGAGCGTGTCGCCCGTGTTGAGGAGCACCGCGTGATTGCGCCTCATGCAGACGCTGGGCAGAAACGGGGGGCAGGGGGAGACCAGCTGGAAGCTGGCGTGCACCGTGAAGCTGTGGCGCAGGCAGCGGGGAGGGCTTTCCAGCGACGGCCGCCTCTCCCGTTCTGCGGGAGCAAACAAAAACAAACAAAAGGAGCAATTGATAAAAAAATAATTTACCTTCATTCTACGGGTAAAGTTGGTACACAGAGAATGTGTTCCGCAGCATTCTTCGGGGTTTGTGGTGGACGTTGCAGTTTGTTTTATTGGTGGACATTGGAGTTTTTTTGTTGGTAGACATTGTAGTTTTTTTTATTGGTAGACATTGCAATTTTTTTGTTAGTTGACATTGTTGAGTTTTTATTTTTTTTTCTTTGGTTAGAGTGCATTTTTTTGTTCCAAACTCTCTTTTTTTATGTGATGGTAGGCACGTCTTGGATTTTATCCTCCTTCCCACATATTGTGATCTCTCCCTCGTGATGGCTACAGTAGTTTAAGAGGGTGATGACGTACGCGCTTCCCACTCTTGGTGTAGGTCGGTTTTTACCTCTTTGCCGGTCTCCTCCTTGACGCAGCGGTAGAATGTCGAGCTTGCGATGGTAAAGTCGTGGGTCCGATTCCAATTAAGGTGTGGTTCAAATTTAGTTTATTCGTCGCAGTTTACCGCTTTTTTGTAAAAATGTTCCTCTGAAGTATGTTTCGTAACGTGTCCCACCTTTCTGAGGAATCTCAGCCCTTAAACACATTCTGCGTTAAAGAAACTGGCCAGCTGAGACATTCTGTGAAATGCAATGAATGTGCAATAGCACTTAATGGGACTTTTATTGAGGAGCATTTTCGATCGCAAGGGTTCTCAGACTGGGTTCCGTGGAACACAGGGGTTCTGCGAGCTGGTCTTATGGGTTCCGCAAGCACCCAAATTGCAGTGCCCCCCCCCCCCTCACCCCACTAGTTTAACATTCCACGGACTGAGCCATGGATTAAGTTGGTGTTGCGGGCAAAGCAACCTCACCCTTTGCACTAATATGTATATATATTTTACATTGTGTCTCAGGTTAACCACTCTGCCTTCTTATTCTGTCAGTCCTGCATTTTGTCTTAGTACTTTGTCAGTGCAATAAACTTGTTCGGTATCTAAATAACTTTATGCCTAGTATTATCGGTTGGCTAAAAAGGGGGGGGGGGGCGATCCTTGGGACTTTTTGAGGCTTGCCAGGGTTCCCTGGGACGAAAAGTTTAAGAATCTTTGTTCTATCAAAATGTAAGCAGAGGTATTTCATTTAGCGGAGAAATTGCTATGTCAGACTGCAATACACTGCGGTGTGTAATGCGACGTCACATCGTAAGTCCGGCTCGAGACCAAATGGGAACTCGTTTAAAAAATCCGTGCCGGAAACAACTCTGCTTCTAACCAAGCTGAATCAAGTCGAAGCTACAGGCCCAAACTCACGGGGATGTTTGGGGCGCTCGTGCAGCTGCATCCGGGCACAGTCTGGACATGGGCGCAACGGTGGCACGGCGGCCAGAGTCAGGTAGCAGTGGCAGCTGTCTTGGGGCGGCACGGCGGGACTGCAAACAGAAGACAGACTGCCTTTGAGAGAAGCTCCTGCCACAGCCGCCGCCAGTGCAAAACAATGCAAAACACATGCAGATGCCGGTTTGGGTGGCAGACGCCGGAACGGGAAACGTTCCTCAACATTTTGCAACTCCGTGTCACCGTAACTTGGCAAATGCTGAAGGCTTTGGTCTGGTGAGCCGATTGGTATGTCGTAGGGAGAAACATGACTCTATCTCCACTAGTTGTGCGCGGTGCTGTCAAAGCAATGGGCGTGAGAGAGAGGAAAGCTGCTCTTGTATGAAATTTGAGTGACAGGCTAATCACCGAGCGGGACAAAAGCAACATTGGAGGTACAAAAAAGGTTACGGTAAGAGGGGAGTTGCTCCTTCCCCTCTTCTCCCACTGCTCGGGTTACGCTCTCACCCTTGTGCTTTCGGTAAGGGCTGTGACGTGCTTCACCTTCCATGAGCCACATTGAAAGACAGGCAAGGAGCCTTCTAGCATTATGTCAATATCCTCACAGTCAAAATAGTGTTATGAGTGTATTTATCAACGGGAAGTTAGTCGGACCCAACGAGCATCCGGTGTCTCCACTGTAGACGAGAAATTTGGCCGGTGCGGTACAACGTCTGCTTGCGTCCTTTACAGAAACCTAGACCATGCTCGTCGTGTGGGTTCAAACGGTCAATCGCCCGAGGCCTCCGCTGCTGTTCAAGTCTTGAAATTGGAAAAGAGAAGGGTATTTGGATGCGGCAAAACAGATGGACAGGCAATAGGCACACCATTGGCAGGTGCCGCGTGACGCCGAGTATGACGTGCATCGAGGTCACAAAAAAGCGAAGGAGGCGAGGAGAAAAGCCGTGACGTTTGCCTGGTGACTGTCCAAGCAGAAGACGGACTGACGGACTTCAACTTACACTTCATATGGCGGCGAAGTGCCGCCTCACGTGTTCTGGAGTGTCCTGTTTGGACACCCCTTCATTAAAGGGCAACTCCACTTAATTCCGAAAATTTCGGGATAATGAATGACTTCACATTAAAAAGCACGAATAAAGGACACGTCATTTGCATCGCGAAGAATGAGGTATATATTGGTAAATCATATTTTTTTTTGTGAGCAGAAATCGAAACTGAAACTTCGGCTCCATCTGATAACATTGCTGTCGGGAAGCCAAAAACATGGGAATCACGTGGTATGACACGTCACGTGACCCTATACGTAACGACGGGCGTGAGTGGGGAGGGTTTTGGTGCCTACGATACCCGAGGACGTCTGCACAACTGCAGCATCGGTCTGAATACCTAGTGTGAACGAAACTCCCCGAGACAATAACCGCAAACGGTGGGACAATGACGGCGGTAACGGCGGTACGGCTTCCAAGAAGCGTACTGCGCAGGAGCCTCAATCACGTGGACACCGTTGAGCGCCGAGAGGAAATGTTGCTGACCTCACCCGTTACACTTGCCTAGAGAAGTAAAAACAAACAAAAAGGGGCCATGGTGATAACGTTTAGCTCAATGTTGGCTATGTCCACGCCACAGCCTTGACTGTGCCTCAATTATCCCGCTAGAGTAGGCCGATTTCGGCAACTTGGCACTTTGCAAAGTTTGCCAGACCGTTTAAAGGGATGCTGAACCAAAATCTGGATTCCACAAAACACGCGGAAAAAGCATGCAACAGGATGCTACAAACACCAAAACATCACTCATACAGCAATATCTCGAACGGATGACCGTATTTTTCCAAAAAAGGAGGCGCATTTGACTGATATGTTTAAGTCTTGTTTCTCCGAAAAGGAGAGGGAATGGCCTCGCGTGTTCTCCGCCTTGCGGCCCTGAGGGAGCAAAGCGAAGAGAGGAAGAGATGAGATATCGGTACACCACTCGCTTCGTCGGCCTGGTTCAATCTCGACCTCTCTTTCCAAAAATACGACCGTCCATTCGAGATATCGTCTTACGAGTAGTGTTGTAGGGATTGTAGCATCCCGCCTACATCTCCTGCATTGTTTTTTTTAAATCCAAATTTCAGTTCACCATCTCTTCAAGAAACATTTAGACAGAAATAGGTCGTATGAGAGAGAGAAAGGGGACTAGATATGTTGAAGGCATTTTCCCCCCGTGCTCGACGTGCTGGCCTTGTTTGGAAGAGTGCCTGCAGTCGAGGACCCTGATATTTGGTGCGCCTCCCGACTGTCTCTCCACTTCGAAACTCTTGGCGCCGTCCCTGTCGGGAAGACGTACCGTGACCTTGACGGAGATAAACCCCACTTTGGAAGCGCCCAGCAGGCGCGTCCACCCACCGCTGTTTTAATCTTTTGTCCCTCGCGTCGATTGCTTACGTTTTTTCTTCGAGCTAACGAAGAACCCCGGGGGGGGGGGGGGTTGCCTGGCGAGACGTTTGGGGGGGCGATCGCCCCCACCGCCCCCCCCTTGGATCCGCCACTGACGACGTCACTGGGTGGAAGTCGAGAGACCGCTTTTTAAGACGCCGTAACCACGGCAGTCGGAGATGCATTTCAGGCACCATACTTCCGCTGCAGAAACCAAGGATCCTGGGCTCAACCATCAACCCTGCCTGTTTCGACAATGGACGAGCGTCATATCGGCATTCGGCCGCGTATCACTACTGCATGGCGCACGTTAAAGATCCTAGGCTAGCCATCGCACTGCACCAGCTAAATTTCTCATCTACAGCAAAGACACCAGACGCACACTGGAGCTGACTAGCTTCCCCCTGTCAAAACAAACATACAACACAATTACTTTTACATAGGCCTCGGGCAAGAACTTAAACTTCACCTACCTCCAGCCGTAAATGAGGATCTTGGAGGCATCCGTGGGCCACTGGCAGATGGCGAGCGTCAGGTCCGAGTGGATGCCGTTGTCGCCAAAAAGCATCGTCTCCCCAGCCTGCATCGACGTAGAAAGACTTTTCATTCGGCGCCATCGTTTCTTTCGAACAGATTTTGACATGTGGTTGGCTGCCAGGCACTTCCTGCAACATACTCCCATAACAGAAGAGCGGCCCACGAATGATGCGTCAGGGCACTCGTGCGCGGGAATGGTCGACCAAAATTTGGGAACTTGGGGAACATGCAAGGTTACTCCGGGGAGCCCCATGTTCCTAGGAACCTAGTTTGAGAACTCCTGCTTTAAGTTTAGCTTATCTAGCGAGCTGAGCTTGCACCCTCTGGAACCTTCGAGCTTCGGAAAATGCTCCGCGTGCCACACACCTGGACCAGCGGGCCGTAGGGCACGAAGATCCACCACTGGAGCCTGTACTTGTAACAAGGCAGTGCAAGGGCAGCGTCGTCTTCCAGGTGCAGCGTGTAGGACAGCAGGAACTGCCCGTCCGCCAGGAAACCCAGGAACACCGTGCTGCGGGAATACATTTGACCTCCAACAACGCCCCATCTAACCGCAAAGAAGATTATGAAACAGACCAGCCAGTCATGTGGGAGCAGGCTTGTAGATGACAAAAATGCATTTACAGTAAAACCTCGTTATAACAAAACGGGATATAACAAACTAATGGATATAACAAAGCAATCAATCATAATTCCCCTTGCTTGCTAATAGTGGGAAGAAATGGACATTGGCTATAACAAACTAATGGTTATAACGAAATAATTACGACCGCTCCTTCAACTTTGTTATAACGAGGTTTTACTGTATATCATTATGATCCTAGTATCATGTACCATATTGCCCAGTCTATAATTTGCATCCCCCCTTTTAGGAACCTCATCAAAAGGACAATGATGTTAATTTTTTTAATTTAGATTGACAGGTACCTTTATTTACTTCAATGAACACTGTTCGTTAGAAATGCAATGAACCGGCTACTGCCTAAGCACCCTCGAGACTATACTCCGTTTCACGATAACTCGGCGAACTGTGGAGGCTACGGATCCCTCGACCGATTAAGAGTGTCGGAGCGAGACACGTGACACAACGTCACGGGAGCGTTTGTGTCACTGCGCCGAATGCGAGGATTGATGGAACCGCCTGTCATCAGCTGGCAAAGAGTCGTCTGCTGCAAAATCGACCAAATTCCGAGGAACAACCACCGCCGTAACATTGCCGTCTACTTGAGTAGCAACCTGCTGAAGGACAGTTCATGAAACAACCGTACGCTCAATTTACCTGCAAATCTGTGGAGGGCTCTAATGCCAGGGCGATGTTTTTAGCGGAAATAGTCGATTACAAAGCTGCAACCATTCAAACATTGTTTAAAAGCCACACTGTTCTCGGAAAAGGGTTGACTTGAATCAAGTGTCGCTGAAAAGTAACATGTCTTTGCCCATCTTTCTTCTCTGCGGTGTAGCCAGACGCAATTGTGAGAGTTTAATTGCTGTTAAAAGCTAAAGAGGCCCAGAACTACATTTTGTCGCAGATGGCGCTGTTACCGTGGTGATAACGAGGCCTCCGTGGCCACAACCATGGAGTGCTGTCGCGTGCCTTGCTTCGACCAGAGCCGTTTATCGGGAGAGTTTGGCCATACATTGGTTTGAATAGGCGAGCATGTAGGAGCCAACCACAAGCCTCGAAACAGCCCCTAGCGGTGGTCGAGAGCTCTAAATATGCAACACGACTAATTTAAGCCGGTTTAGCGTCGCTAGAGTGAAAAGGTATAACTCTCGGTGACTGAAAGCTTGGCGCATTTGAGGTTTTCGTCACATCCATATTTAACTGCAGAATGAACAATGTGCGCTCCAAACCAGGGCAGACTTGCTAGAAACATTGTCTCAGCTGAGACTGGGGGAAAGAAAGCACTGCCAAAGCTAGCACACGAGCTGAGCGGGACTCAATTCACATCTCGAGACGCTTGCGCGCTCCAGCCTTTACACTGTTCTCTTTCCGCCAGTCTCAGCTAAGCCGCTGTTCTACCCAGCCGGCCCAGAGCAAACTGTCACCAAAATGTCGAGATTGAACGTTTCTACTTCACGTTTTAAATGTTGTTTGCAATATTGTAACGTCGTGGTCTGCTAATTGGTCGACGCTGTGTCGTCCTTTTAGTTTACGCTCTAACCGCGGGGGCAGTATTCGGCGCTGGCGGTGGCCTCTGCTCCACCCATTGGCCAAACTCTTCCAATAAATGGCTCTGGCTTTGACGCCCTTAATAGGGTGCGAGGCCATAGCCTCAGCAGTTTGTCAAGTTACCATAAAACGGAGTATAAAAAGAGGCAGGAAGCAGGATTGTGTAGTCACAAACAATGGATTGCTTTCTGTGCCCTTAGGAGAATGCAGATCACACATGCGGAAAGAGAGGACATTATAAGGCCAATCGCTCCAATGGCCCGCAGACTCCAATGTCCCAACCGAAACAATTTTTTCCCCAACCATGGGAAGATTGAAGGTTGAGACAGACAAGCATAGAAATGTTGTTAAAATTGATTTCAAAAGTATGCAGTACGAATCTGAAAGCACGATCAAATTAAGGTTGGTTCAGACATTTACGCCGGAGTGCAAGCCAACAGCATTACGACCTCTTCCATTCCTTTACAGTGCCTGCAACGCGTCTTCCGACTGGTACGTTTAGCGTCCCATTTTACCGGTACGTCGCAAGCGGTCCCCAAGTGGCCCCCAAGTGCCAACAAACGATGCCAGAAAACTTGGCATGTCACGCCAGATGTCGAGGCATGTCACGCCAGATGCCGAGATCCTGGTGGTCGGTGCCATCAAAGCCAGCAAAAAGAATGAGCGAACGCGAGCGTCGTTGTTGTTGCAAAGTCCCAACTCCGGGCCGCCGGAGCTTCAGTGGACTGCCAAGCTGGAGAGCGACCTCCAGCAGAACACGTCTGTCTGCCATCTCCCCCACCACTGCTGCGACACCACCAGGATTGCGGCCGTTTGCAGTGCGACGTCATCAAGCAGAAATCGAGGAACAACCTTTTAGAACTCGGTAAAAGCGCCAGTCGGAGAGCTGTTCCAGGCAACATAATTCCACAGTCGGCCATGGCAAACATGTTGCCATAAGCAATTGCAAGCGGTCGTAATGTGGTCAATCAGAGTGAAGTGCAGATGTATGAACCAGCCTTTACTGTCAAACATGTCCATTTATCTTCCGGTGCCCTAAAGCGGAAACTCTAGCCAGCGGGCACGGACACTGCTTTCCTTCACCCTTTTCGGCTTTCAAGGTTGTAGAAGTAAGCGCATGCCTACGCACGATCATATCTTAAGGAGACAAAGAAGCCGCCTACCGCAACTCTATTTTGAGGCCGGCTCTACTACGACACCCTGAATGCCAGCAGGTAAGTGCAACGCCTCGTATATAACATGGCCATGGCGTTGGACTTTCCGTGTCTCCTGCCAGAGGTCGGCACGAGTACACTGTGTCAGCGTTTGAGTGAGACTCGTGTTCAATCGGCGAGGAAGGTAGTTCCAGCCGAACGCTGACGCAGCACTCATGTCCAACGTATGGCTCGCACTAGTCTCTAACGGGTAATACCGAAAATCCGGCACTACAGCCCCGATGTCTATAGTCGCCGACGGTTGCAACGCCCCCAACACAAGCTCCTGCCGTTGATGACACGTCCGCGTTTCGTGCGACTCGACCACGCTTCACAGCCGAATCAAGGCCGAAGGCACGGAGCGCGCGCCGGAGGTTGGGCGTTCAAACGGCACACTCAGCCACTTTCATACTGTCAATGACAATATAGATGGTGTTGGCAGGTGGCTCCCCAAAGGAGAATGAGGCAGGAACGACTCACCCGGCTCGAAGCACATCATCGCTGACGAGGTCCTTGAGACGAAAGGCGAGACGGCGAGGCAGGGACTCGAACAACCTTGAGCTCTTGTCCCGCGCGTGACGCTTCCACGTGCCCCGGATCTGCAACCAATCGCGGGCACAGCGCCCGCGCATCAGTTGCGGTATTCGTAGATGCCGCTTTGACGCGAGTGCTGGTACATGGGACGTCGTCGCCAACATAGTTTCGTCTGTAACTTTTTTTTTTTTTTTTTTTTAAGCTCGAGCAGTCTGATGCATATTGAACGCATTATGAGGGCTTGTTTCGCACCGTCAAATACCTAGTGCTCAGAAACTATAAGTTTTGTCGCACTTACATTCCCTTAGCCCCTTGAAGTTAATGGTATCATCGAGAGGGTGCGATGCAACCCTTCTATATTCATCGAGGATGAGAACGGCAGGGCACGCGTTTTACGCCTTCCGCCCTGCTTTGCCTGCACACACAAGCACCAAGTGTATAAGCCTCGAAACTCCCACCTGCCGTCCTCCCCTTGTGACTGCAGCGGCCTGTAAGTGTGTGAAGACCCTCATCCAGTAGATTTAAAAATACTGTGCAGTGATGCGAGCAGAAGGCAGCATTAAGCTGGCAAGTGTATCACTTGTACAACTTTGAGGCAAATACAAGTGGCAGTGGCAAGTCCATTTCTGACATAATATTCAACTGTAAGCAAATATTTTTTGACTATTGAAGCGGACTTTTCGCGGTGTTGGCTATTCTGTCCCTTAGTAGCACACCTAGTTCTGCGAATGTCCTTAGGATCTCCCAACGTTCCAGGGATGTCCTGTGGACTTTTATGAACATTTGTGCTGCTTGGGTCGGAGTGCAGCGCTCTCGGAACTTCGGAGAGAAGCATCCGATTATTTGGAAGGGGTCTACCTCTCGCGCTGCGTCTACACGTAAACGAAGGCGGAAATGTGAAATAAGTGCCTACAAAGAAAAGATGCTACACAAGTCGGCACCTTGTTACTATTCGGAGGGAACGAACTACGTTATGTGGGGTAGTTCATCTCGTAAGTACGGGAAGCGATCCCGAGCGTCGCATTCTAGAGAAGACTGACGGTGGGACTGCCTCCTTAGGTGTGAAAACCCGCGTTGCATACAGTTTTAAACTACACACAAACAGGGAAAAAAAAAAAGAGTTAAAACGAAGAACGATGAACAAAAACAACAAAGAAAGACAGCGGAGTATCGGAGCCTCGTCTCAGCGACACGGCACTCCCGTTTGCTCTTAAACTTTTCTTTGATTTCCGTTTCTATACTTCTACGTAAAGTCGACCGCTTTAATTGCGAAGCTTGCTTACTTGGAAGAGCGTTAATTTCTGAAGCAGCCCCTGGGGTTTCTGCTGGCGCGAGTTGTGGGGTTGTTTGGACGGGGCTTCATCGTCACTCATGCCGACACTTCACTTCGGCGCCGTGTGCGATTGTGGTTGAGCGTGCACACACTGTCGTTCTCTAGCGTCCGGAACCCGCACTGACGACGAAATTCGTGGCGATACTATTCATCGTGGTTCGTATTCGCGCACAGCGCGTACCAGGCTGCTTCGGGGAATCAACGCGGGGCAGTGTTTGTACACAGGGTTCCGTGCAGACGCGCTAGATGTCACTGTTGCAAGTCGTGGTCGATTTAGCTGAAAAATAGTAAGTGACAATAAAACATAATTTATCCGATTATTTTTAAAGTATTTGTGCGTAAATTATGATAAGCTTTTGAAGCTTCAGAGTTACTATTTTAAAACAAATAAGGTGGTTGTTTCTTTTTCCTACTAGATGACACTAATCACCATCTAATTACAGGATTAAACAACGTTTTAAGGGCCCACGAAGTAACCAACTAAGCAGTTAAAATGATATATACTGTCTAATTATTGTCTTGGACATGCCTTTTGATAAATCTGTAATACCACTCCGCCTGGCTCAGCTTCACCTTCAACAAGTGATTCCACCATTCGACTTACTGCGGGCTGCGATTTGACTGACCTACTTTTTTAACTTCTCGCTACATCCATTCCACAGTGATCCATTCATTCAATGGCTGCTCCCTGGTTTCGCATGCGGTCGTTCGGCTGGCAGCTTTTCAGAAAATTTCAGTTTCATTCACTCGTTTCACTGTGAGATCCGTTGTTTTCTTTCCCGCTGAATCAGCTCGAGACCTCGACTACTAGTCACAACGTCGAGCTCAGCGTCGCAGCTGCGCTTTACAGCAGTTGCTTCATTGTAAACCACAATCGACTCTGTTCTGCTAGCACCTTGGCTGTGCGGCTGTGCTACCGGAATTACAGCCGTGCATTTACAAGCTATGTCATGAGTCTTCTCAGGCAGTTTCCCCGCTTCTCGAAGCAGATCGCTTTCGCCACAAACAAACTGGAGCATTTAAGGAGCAGGATTCGACTGCCAGAGAAATACAAGGGTGGGCGGCTGGAAAAAATTGGTGAGCGTTTCACCCTTCTTGTTGTATGCGTTTATCTCTGGAACTTCACTTGTCTTTGTTGCTGGTAAACCAACTGCCCTTTTCGCATTCTCCGCAAGTCAGTCACTCTCAAGAAAGTGTGGGGAACAGAAAGGGGAAAGCAAAAGGCAGTAGAAAGTGCAAAACCTTTCTTCTGCCACTGAACAACTTCTAACAAAGCTAAGCAAGCATTTGGTCTGTTGCCAGTTCTTCATGACCTCCGTACTTTTTGCTCAAATGTTTTTCTTTAATTTCCCATATTTTTTTGGGGGGAAAGACACACACGATAAAAAAAAAAAAAATTGATGAGAAAGTAAAAAAAAAAAAAACTTGATTATAATGCGATTAATGCAAAGGTGCAAACGAGTTGGACAAGAATGACAATAATAATCCCTGGAGAAGGGGAACAAAAGACAAACACAAATGCCACATACATGGGTGGCAACCTGGTGAGGACGTGAAAAAAAAAAAAAAAATGTCAAAAATATAGGAGTACGAAAATATCACCATATCACCTCCAATCCACTAGCTCGTTTCAACACCATAAACTGGTATATTGCGGGTGTCCCTCGCACTGTCAAGGCTATAAAAGAGGCAGCACTATTTGGTTTAAACTACTATATTCACACACATCTAGTAAGAACTGGTGCTACCTGATCCAGAAGCTTGTGGTTGGTGTTGCTACATGGCGTCCAAGATTTTTCATGCGCTGGCTGCGCTTTTCAGGCCGCTCGCAAACTATCATCATCACCATCATCGTCAATGTACAAAACTTAGGAGCAAGGAGCAGTGTGAAATGTGCTCCCCTCCTCTCGCCGCACTACACAGACCTTTGGCAAGGAAAAAAGTTGATCGGAATTCGAAGGTTTATCTTTTCAAAGATCAAAATATGTAATGTTTTTAAACAAACTGCACGCCTAATCCTTGCAATAAAAAATAGGAAGGCGAGTCAGCTCAATACTTTTTATAAATTTCAAGTACCATATGCTTTGTAGGGCAGAGCAGTTGACATATCGTGCTCGTTATCCCCGCGGAGATCACATTACTATAGTATGTTGCTACTCAAGAAGTGCGGGGGAGATGAAGCCTCCCCCCTTTCTGCAATAGCACAGCAAACGCTGGAGTTTGCCCTCCTCCTTTCCAACATTTGCTCTGCTAATGTGGAAAGAGGGAAGGACTCCGTCTCCTGCTGTTCTTGAGTTGCAACTGACTATAGGAAGGTGCGTGAAGGGCCTCTTAGTCTCGACGTGTGCTTGGCGACTCCATGCTACATCGTTCCAATCGTCATATCTTTCAATTTGCTTAATTGTTTTTCTTTTTTTGTTGTATGTAGTTTTTTTTTGGACATTACCCTCTTGATACGTCTCGTCATGGTTATGCTGTCGGTAGGCCTTTGCCAGCTTCGGCCTTTTAGTCACAATAGAACGCCCTGCGACAAGCTCTCTCATGGCAACACAAACAGGTCAAATCAAAGGCAGTGAGGCCCTGCTGTAACCATAATGAAGAAATGTCAATACTTGGCCCTCAACACAACTCAGGCCTCTATATTATGTGACCCTTTGAACAGGCTAGCTGTCAGCCTATCTTAACCAAAGATTTTGCATATGCTATTCTAAAAGTTCCTAATTTCAGGCAAACGCTCCAGTTTGTTTTAAATTTGATTAAACAATTCGTAGGAATATTATTGGGGGGGGGGGGGGGGGGGCGAAGGCAAAGATCCAGAAAACTAGCTCAACTCGCCTTTTCTGCTAAACAGCCGAGCGTATCAAAAAAAAAAAAAAAATGCGGAGGCCACGGTTGCAAACAATTGAAGAAATGGAACTAGGCTGGGATGGGTAATGCAAGCTACCATCCGTTACAAAGCAAGGGTGGAGCTATTAGCATTTATCCATCCATTCATCCATACTACAGAAAGTAAAGGACAATTTGCACATCTGCGTGTTACCGTGCTCGAGTGCATCACATTCTCTCGTAATCACTTATGACGAGCGAACCCGCTGGTGCCACCTGTCGAGTAGCCCTGGAACTGGACATAACTTGATGAAACGTTTTCTAGCATCTGCAAGATCAAATCTTATCCGGTATCCTTGAGGAACAGTTGCTCATAACATTATCGGAATTATTTCAAGCACGTGATGAAAGAATGATGAGGAAAGAGTTATAAAAATATATACGTGGGTCTAGACTGGTTCCCCGGCTACCAGACAGATGGCGCCGGTGTGGTCACTCGTCTAAGGCCGCTGGACAAAATTCACGCTCTGCGTATTTTCCAAATAGCAACATTCGTATCATTGCGCAAGCAGTGCAAGACGGAATCTCGAGCATTTGGGCAACCGACGGGCAGCGCTGGCCGGCTCCTTTGCCAACAAACATTCTTTGTAAATAGCATATATAAAGGTGCGGCCTGCCATTCAACCGGCCCCCACATTCTCGCTGTAAGCGGTTAGAAGGGAGCGCGACGGGGCGCTCGAGTTTACTCTAACGCAGCTGCACGAACCAGCCTTTAGACGCAAAGGAACGAAAGCAGACGTATCATGGTTTCCAATGTTTGTGTTTCAACTTGCTTTGTTCTTTCTGTACGTTATCTAGGCCCTTGTAGATTTCATTTCGATGTGTGCAGGCCTCTTTCTTTTTGCCTGGTGCAGGATTACCCTTTCTGTTTCGCTAGGCGCAAGGTTGTCAAACTTCTCTGTTCTCGAGGAACCCTTCCCGGTGTCAGCATTTATACAAAGAAACAGCGAAAAACCCCACAGACCTTGTAAACGATATTGCGCATACTAGGCAGCACGGATGGGCAGTATTTCAAATACTTTGTGTATTTTGCATGTGTATTTAATTACAAATTGGGTAATGTATTTGACGTGTGTATTTAAATACTAAAACATGGGTATTTCAAATATAATTGTAATTAAAATACTATCTTGTGGGCGAAAATACATCCTCCAAATTTTTTGTCACTGTCCAGAGCAGGAAGAAAACTATGTTCTGCACCGAATGCAGTGTCTCTCAATCAAGCACAAGCGTTTAGTGACTTTGTGATTACGGGCAAGAATAGTGACGAAATCGACGTTCACTGGCAGACTGGCTAAATAAGTGCCAGTGACAACTTGTGATGCTTTCCAGCCTGATTTCCATACATATTTTTGCCTGGAACATTCTAAATGCGCGGGTCGTCCAGATTTTCGTAACTGGTGTGAGTTGCAACAATAAAAAAATTCTCTAGCTAGTGCTGCGCGTCTTGGTCCTTTGTTGGTCTATACGAAAATGTATAATCGACAAAAAAAGCTGCTTGAAGCTCTGTACTTTTTTCACTTATTACGTCCAAGCTGATTACATTTTTTTGTGATTATATTTCTATTACGTTACTAGAGCCTCGCACACTAACTCCCGAGTGTGCGATGCAAAATTAAAATGAGATACCCAGAAACCCGTTGCAAGCGCCCCGAGGTCGCTGACGTAAATTTTGAGGAATGTATCTGGAAAAGTATTGGGAGGAGACCACATACATTGGCTTGTATTTGTATCTTGTACTTAAATGCTTTTTTTTGGAAACGTAATTAGATTTGTAATTAAATACATTTTTGACAAAGTATTTTGTATTTGTATTTCAATACATATTTGCATGTATTTTGCCTATCCCTGCTAGGCAGTGTTTGGCTCATAGTTATGCAACAGTGGATGGCTCAGATCTGCTAAGATACTGCTTAATCCGGAAAAATACTTTACTCATGAACGGTCAAGGAAACCTGGGAGCTCGGGAAACTCGCGAGAGTGCCTCGGGAAACCCAGTTTGAGAACCCCTGCACTAGGAAGTTTAAGCCCACATTTGGTACCGACTCCCCTTCCCCGCTCTCTCCAGGCATCTACTGGAAGAGCCTGTGTGAAGACTACGGGGCAGCTGTGCGCGACATCGTATCGGACTCCCGAAGTCGGCCCCGCAAGGCAGCGGTTGTCGTATCTGGTATGGCTACCTTTGAATTCTGTCTGCAGTGGCAGGCTGCGGTGTGTGGTCACAGCGCATTTTCCTCCGCGTCGCTCGCATACACGTCGGCGGCCATTGTAGTGGCCTTGCTGCCGAGCACGTACCTTTTGCAGCATACATTTTACACCACCGAATTTGTTTTACTCGGCGAATGGGAATGGGGCGACCAGCCTGCTGTGGCGACGTCACGTGCGAACCATGTATAAGTGGGATTGACTTGTAGTGAAATTAGATAGAATCTGTCAGAATTTACTGTAAAATTATAAATTGGGTTAAAGGAAAGTGGTTTTTACCTTTGGCAAACAGTCCATAAAATTTAATTTAAAAAGGTTAATGTATGGTTGGCCTTAGCTGTCATGCAGTTTATACTCGCACTGCATGACAGATTTCTTTTAAAATTCATGCTAGGCACCCTGGATAAAAGCCGCTATAATAAAAGTAAACCTGTCCTGCGCGATCGAAGTCAAGACAGATAAAGGTAAAGGCCATTCTGCTCGCATTACTGCAAAATTGTCTTTCTCTTCGTTTTTTTTTTTTTTACGCACACATATTTTATTTTATTTGACTAAGGTCACAGGAAAAGTTTACCACTGTACAAAGTGTGAAATGTTTCACGGGATGCATTTGCCTCTATTTATTAATAGATAGCACATGTGGCATATTTAAGCTGGAATGTATATAAATACATTATGCCATTCTATGGTGCATTAATAACATGGCCTGCAAATCAATGTGCTATGTAATATTACACCATAGATGATCGAAAACCTCGCAGCATACTTGAATACATGCTGTACTCATTTGTGATGTACTGGAATACACAGGAATCATCTATTAAACTTGTTGACGTATTAGAATACATATTGGACTACCGTAATATACGGCATTAGTGCCCACTTCATAGAGACGCCCACTAAAATACATTTCCAAAACTTGGGAACTGAAAATAATTTCTTAAGCGCCCACACTCTCCAGAGCGGCGACATCGGCCAAAACTATTCACTCTTGCGGCGGCCAAGAGGAGGGTATTGTGTGAAAATAAATGTGCCTTTTCTTATTCCGTTCACCCTGCCTTCAAAGCTTTTTATTGGCCACCATCTTGGTTTTTACCGATTTGACCAGACAAGCACTCATGTCTAGATTATTAACCCAGTTTTCAGTGAAAGTAGGGGGGGTGCTTCTCCAGTATTTTACTTTAATTTCAGACACACTGAAATACATATTGGGGTTACAGCTAGGGTGCCCTTTTCCACTGTGCAAGGTACAATACACTTCACAGGACGTATTTCCCGTCAGGCCTTCCCTTTTACCTTTTTTGTTTTCCGGGAAACAAGTTTGTGAAAACATGTTTCGTATACAACTTTTCATCAACACGCGTTTCGTCGACACTGTCGCATTTCGTGGACGTATCCTTCTGCCACGTTTCGTCGACAACATATTCTTTTCTTACAAAGTGCGCAATCCAATCTGGGAGCCGCTAAAAGCTAGCATGAGATTCACTGAGGCATGTTTACCCATGCATTGGGTCCCCTTTCTTTCTCTCCCCCGTAAACCAGGTCAGATGCAAAAGGTTCGTCGTGATAAAAGCAGGGTCACGTCGACGTAATGACGCGAGGCGTGTCAATAAAACAAACGTGGAAAGCCTTAACTGTCAACAAAGCGAACTGTCTACGAGACGTCGTTCTACGAACCGATTGCCACCGCGTTAGGGCTGCTAGTACATTGTACAAAAAACACACTGTCCTAGACACGTTTCTTTCCCTTGTACGAAGGTCCGGTCCTATTGGTCACGCAAACACTGTCTGCGGACAAGTTTCAAGCTTACAATATTCGTGTTTACTTTTACCAGTGTAAAAGGAGGCCAACATAACCTTGACGAGAGTGTTCAATACTTGAACATTTTAGGGGGAATGTCTGAGATACCGGGTGTCGTAGATAACGAACTTAGCACGGGCTCCTATCTCTATGCCAGCATCTCAAACCGGGTGTCTACTACGCCCACTCACTCTTGCGTCGAGCTGCCACGCTGACAGCTCAACGCCCGCTGCTGCTTTCACGACGCTTCTCTTTTCGTTTCTGGCACAAGTTCGCCGATTAAACCTTTATTTTCAGTTTTACGCTCATCGAACCTTTTGCATCCGCGACAGTACAAAGCAAATATGCTTAGATGTACCTGAGGCATGTCCACGGTTGCTTCAATCATCACGTGTATGTAGAGAACACCGCGTCTCTGGTACGATGCACGAGTGCAGCTCTATGGTCTCCACCTCGCAGGACTCGGTTTCCTGGGCTGCCTGATGACGACCAACCCAGACGAAGTCTCGTACCGCGACGCCGTCGCGGAGTGTTCCAACGCGGTGCTGCAGCTGAGCGACGCGATCCGCAACCCCGAGTCGGACGCGCACCTGCGGCACGTGGAGCAGTGCCTCAACGAGGGCACGATCCGCACACTCAACCTCCTCGCCTTCACGGTGGTCTGGGAGGACGACTTCGGCCGTGACTCTGACGTCTTTGCGGCGCACTGCTCGTACCTGCGGCCGCAGTGGCTGCGCTTCCACCAGCGCGTGCTCGACGTGGGATTGCTGGGGAACTGGGTCGTCCTGGCACTGAAGATGAGGGACTTCGACGTGAACTCCGCCGAGTGGGGAGAAGCGGCACGGAGCTAGGTCGACGCGAGTGCTGCAAAAATGTCGGTCGTCTGTTTGCCGTGTTGGAGTGTAACAAGGACAACCTGCTGCCACATTGCAGACACAGATGTTGGGTAGACGATCGGACTAGTTGGTTCATTTTTAAAAGTACAAGCGGTGCAACGACAAGGACAAAGTAGAAGAAGCTGTCGTCCATCTTCTTTTAATCTGTCCTCTTTGTTGTACAGATATTGTACAGGTATTAGAGTTATTACTGGTAGCAGACCTTCGTTCAGTGACACTGTGGCGTCCCTGCTAAGGTTGGAAGTGACTCTCAACTAATCCTCGTTTTTCGTTTGTTTTATTTTGTAGTGGTACAAATGTATGATTGTAATGCGATTTTGCAACTGGACAAGAATGTTGAAAATAATCCCTGTAGGAGGGGAACAAGGGGGACAAAGGACAAACAGAAATCTCCAAACACAGCTAGGCGACAGTGCGCGACCGAAAAAATTCGCCTGGTCCTGGTATCGAACCTGGGACCTCTCTATTTCCAGTGGGGCGCTCTACAAACTGAGCTAATCAGGAGTTAGATGTCAGTAGAGCCAACTGGTTTTATCAGCTGCCACCAGTCTAACACCAACAAGGGTAAACGGCCTGCATTTTTAAGGTTATGTAGTTTCTTATACAGAAAATTATAGGAGTTCAAGCAGACTGAACAAATAAATTTTCAGCAGTGTGCGTGTTTATTCTTAATGGAGACACAACTATCATTTCTTTCACCTTCAGTTATTTTAGAAACTGAGAAACCCCTGACACTGTGAGAGTATGAAATTTTGTACCTAGATCCAAAAGCTCTAAATCTTAAGTATAAGCAGCCGGGAAAGGGCAATATGCAAAATAGCAATGCCTCTGGCGGTTCAGGTGCACTCTGGGAGCAGGAGACTGTCAACGAGTAGTTTCAAATCCACCGGATCAGTCTGCTATCGTCTCCGCACCGCCATTGCTTACATCGTCGTAGATTGCTTTACACCTGTGCATGATGGACTAAATACCATTTTCTGCTCATCCCTACATACCAGACACAGTGAATAATGAAACAATTATAATCTTGTTGGCACATAGCGCAAGCGAAAACGCCGCAATGGCGAAGTCAAGTGAACTCAGATCGACGTACGCCGAACGCCGTGCTATAGCTCACTGCGTGCATTGCACCCGGAGTGCACTTGAACCACTAGGGGCGCTTCTATTTTGCACATTGCCCATTGGGGCGCCATAATGACGGCAACCACGGCATTCGCTCGTCTTTCGTTTGCCAGAACTTCTACGACACAGTATCCCACAGCAAAGCACACCAGCCCTTGTGCGATATTATATTTTGTAGCCACAAAATTCTAACTTATGCCATACTTGCACGGAATTGAATTGGCTCTGATGGCTCTTAGCATCAGTTGCGGTCCATCGCAAAATAAAATGGGGTATAAGGATAAGTTTATTACAAGTTTCTCTATATACATTGTATTCTGTCTCATGTAGTAGTTATTAGCCATTTGGTAATGGCAGGAACAAAAGGCAAATAAAAACGGCAGACAAAGGTCCAGTACCAGGGGGCAAAACACACACGGAGTACTCTAAATAATAAATTTTAAAAAGCATATGCATGCCTATCTGCGAGTTCTAACAGTTCAAAATAACAATAACATGCAACCTTCTAAGAAAAATAAAAAGGAACGCTAAGCGACCTACTACATTATCCTTGTACAATCTGAAATTGTCACTCGCACAGCGAGTTATCCATTTATAAATTCATATGCAACATTAATTAGTACTCGGCATAAGTACCACAAAAGAATGAGTGTCACAAAAGCAATACGAAAATGTCCACAAACAGCAAAAGCAACCACGACAACATTGAAATCGCTACAAACCCAAGACAATAAATACATTATATACAACCATTCCACAAAATTCTATATACGGAAAATGAAACGCCCGAGCACGCAAATGTCTGAAACAGCTTCACACACGCGCGTGTTCCTGCTTGCGCAGGCATGCGCGCGAGCAGGCGAGGACTCGTAGCGGCATTTGGAAGGTGTCGCCGAGCACGTGGACAAGAACTCCCGACGGCCGTACCAGGGTGCGCAGAGGCACACTCGCTCGCAGCCAGGGGGCGGAGTCGGGGAACACGGGGGCGCGGCACGCCCGGCACCGTCCGCTCGCCCACAGCAGACGCAGCAGCTCCCTCGGGACGTCTTCCGCCGTCAGCTGCGCACTGGCGACACAATCGAAGGTCACGCGGCGCAAAAGCCCTGTAGGCAGTAGAGTACCGCACAGAACTATGCGGAGAGCAAGTTTGCCTGCTTCTTTCGCACGGGTTGTGCCGACGTCAGAACGCCGAGCTCCGATTGAAGGATAGTAGGTAGATTTCGAGGCAGCTTGCTTTGAGGTCTACCCACTATCCTTCAATCGGAGCCAGTCGGAGCTTAATGTCTTTTTGACGTCACCACAGCACCTGCAAAAGAACCAGAGTGTCACGCTGTCGGATGTCGCGATCCCGGCGATCGGGCATAGACGTTCCGGTAAAAAGCGGGAAAGAATGTGAGCATCGCTGTCGTCGCGGCGTCCCAACTCCCGGTTGCCAAAGCTTTCATGGACTGTCAAACTGGAGAGCGACTTGCACCAGAACGGCGTCTGCAATTCAATCTCCGTTGCTGCGACACCGCCGGGACTGCGGTGGGCGACGGCGCGACGCTTTTAGTACGTGCGGAGGATATGGTAACTGTGAGTTTGGTTTTCTTTAATATTTTCTGCCTCAAGAACAGAAGATCGACCAGGAATTGACGCAGTCTACTGCGCAAATGACAAATGATCCGGTACATTTGGGATAACGTGATTTTCCTTTGATATTTCCGGAGATGCACGAAGTGTAGTAGCAACATTGACTGACAAGTACTTTAAAACACTCCCCACCATTATAGCAATCCTGTTCTCGGCTCGCAAGTAGTTTGTGCCAAAACAAAATAATATTGCTTTTTTAATTAGCGTTATTTCGAGGTTTTCATCTGTCCGCATGGAACTAAACACGAAACTATCGTGCTCAATGTTGCACATCCAACATTACTATCTCCTAAACGTCCACATGTGTCAAAATCCGTAATTCTGAAAGTTAAAGAAGTAAAAAACGAGACGACACATACTTTCATAAAAAGCTGAAATTACTCAAATTAGAAAAAAAAACAAAAAAACATGCCTGTTTACAATTTCAGTTGACGCGGCAGTGCTGCAATAAAACTATACAGGGTGATACAAGGAGACGCCAGGCTCTTTAAATCGACTGCAAAATTCGGTTTCTTAACCTATCGCGCTACGACTTTGTGCAGCGTTGCCCACAGATGGTGCATTTTTTTTGTAAAATTTGCAAAGAGCGAACTTACCTGAGGAAAAAGTAAAGAAAGAAAAAAGGCTTTGCTCCTATGGAAACGCAGCGACGCCGCCGGTCTTCAAACAACACGGCGCCGTTTCGCACGGGAGACAAGAGATGGCGCAAGCGTTCGCAACGCCAACTGCCGCCAACGAACGAGCAGACGACGCCGAGAGCCGGCTTATTTAGCAGACAAGGAACTGCAGTTCCTTGTTGTTACCGCGCCTGTTTTTGTTTCTGCGACTGTCGCCGCCAGCGGAACGCGCGCCGCTTTTCAGTCGAAAAGATTGTCTGCTAAAGACGCTGGCTCTCGGCGCCATATGCTCGTTCGTTGCGCCATCTCTTGTGTCCCGTGCGAAATGGCGCCATGTTGTTTGAAGACCGGTGGCGTCGCTGCATTTCCATAGGAGCAAAGCATTTTTCTTCAGGTAAATTCGCTCTTTGCAAATTTTACAAAAAAAAAAATGCACCATCTGTGGGCAACGCTGCACAAAGTCGTAGCGTGATAGGTTAAGAAACCGAATTTTGCCGTTGATTTAAAGAGCCTGCCGTCTCCTTGTATCACCCTGTAGTTTGTCCTTATCTACCATAAAACACGGAATAACGCCCCATGCAAAAATTGCAAACAATTGCAGACAAAGAAAGAAAATGAGGATGGGCATTTGTAGGTTTAAAAGCAGAAAAGGCACGTGTCGGGGTAGGCGCTGGTTTGATTAGACGACAGAACCCCTCGTTTATAATGCAACGACGTCCTTCCTTGTCGCACCTGCTCTGCGCCAGAGATCTTGCATCACGCTTTACCACTTCACACCTACGCTTCTGCATAAAGCTTCACCGCTTAGCGCCAGATCTTCTGAGCTGCAGCTGAACCAGAAGAACACCTTGGCTACCTCGGTGGGCTAGACGTTTGCAGAAATGGGCGCTTGATATGGCCATTCGCCTACCGTATTATACCGAAAAATAGTCCACCTAGAACCAAGAAAAAGCTTAGTGAAAATAAGGAGTGGGCTAACTTTCGGTGTGCAATCAAGAAAGGAATAAAAAAATATTTTTAGATACAGTATAGACCACTTATAGTGCAGGACCGGATATAATGCGGCTTTTTTCTACCACCGGTCCGCCTCCCATACAACTCCATGTAATTACATACTGCTTAAAATGCAGGCGTGCGAAGGGGAATACCGATTATAGTGCAGTTTCTGGAACAGCCCACCGACCGACTGGCGCAGCAAGCACGCCTCCCCTGTGCAACACCAGATAACGGCACAAGCGGCGTTCGCGGGAGAAGCAAAGAAAGGGGTGAGAAACGAATGACAACGCAGCGAGGTGCAGCACGCACTCGCACGCTCAGCTCCGAAAGCTTTAACGAGCCACTCAAGACAAATCCCAATTCCCAACCTCTCGACCTGGAAAGCCCGAACGAGCCATCCAAGCCTTTCGCCCTTTCGATTTCATCCCTAACTCGAGTGACGCAAAACCAACTTCCTTTCTTACACCACGTCCAAAACAAAACCTGGATGGTTTCTAGTTTCACTTCTTGCAGCTTGCTGGTTTGCTCTTGCGTCTGATGTTTGGACCACGTCAAGTATATTGTACGGAAGTCGACCATCCATTGCCGATCTGTCCTTGTTCCCCAAGTCCAAGATGGCCAAGAAATGACAAGCCTGTCTCTAGAAACTAAGAAGAGCGTCATCGAGGATGTCAAAAGTGGCATAAAAAAGCTTCTGTCGCGACCAAGTACAATGTCGCTGACACAACGGTTTCCACTGTCTGGAAGAACTGGTAGCAGGTACGGAAGCAGCTATAGCAAGATACTGCGCCGCTCTCAAGAAAGGATTCGTGCGCCAAAGCATGAGGACGTCGACGAAGCCAGCGGTTTAAAGATCGCCACAAGGTTAGCTGCAAAGTTATCTCGGGCAAAAGTGGGGAATTCGATGACGCCAGCTTTCAGGCGTGGTTTCGCATTCATCTCAAGACAATGCTTTCCGTGTACAATGCTTCCCGATCGCACCCTCGCGATGAGAGGTGAACCCTGTTCCAGCCACAAGGCCTGAAAGATCACAGCGATAGCAGCCGAGTCCTGAATTTCCTTGACGTAGCCCACAGCTGTACCCTTTGTAAGGTGCTGCGACTCTTGCCGGAAGTTGGTGACAAGAGCTACTGTACGCCCGTCCTGGAGCTCGGTTACGCCTCTTGCAATGCCAATCCCTCGTCCGAGGAGAAGTTGGACGCTTCCTTCCAGCAGTGCTACACCGCAGGTGGCTTCTTCAGTCCCGACGGGCACAGAGATACTCGACAGCGGCGGCAGGTTGACGTGGCTGGTGAGGACTCGCACTGCAGCTAACGTCGCCTTGGGATCTTCTGCCGATGGGACAGGTTTCCGAAGCGTCAGTTTGTTCTTCGCAAGGTCGATGATGGCGCCGTATTCACACAAGAAGTCCATTCCGAGAATGACGTCCCTCGAACAGTCTTGCAAAACGACGAACTTCACGGGGCAGGTTTCACCGTGGATCTCAACGCGAGCAGTGCACCTGCCGACAGGTGTGATGAGATGTCCGCCGGCAGTTCGTATCTGTGGTCCGTCCTACGACGTCGTAACTTTCCGAAGGCGACGAGAGTCTCCCACCCAAAACGGAGTAGTCTGCTCCGGTGTCGACGAGTGCCGTCGCGTCGTGGCCGTCGATGATAACGTTGAGGTGATTCAACACCGTTGCAGAAACGTCGTTTCGGGGCATTGCAGCGTTAGAGTCGGAGTGCTCCGACAATCTTGAAGGATCTTGGCATCGCTCGTCTTCGGCAACACCACCTCCCGGCATTGCCGCACCTAGTTTTCCCGACGGAAAGCGATGGGTGACAGGCTGTCTCGGCGAGACCGGCGGAAGGGCGATGGCAAGCGTCGGGGAGACGGTGAACGGAATCCTCGGCGGGGAGACGATTCATGAGATGAAGAGCGGCGAAGGTAGTCCTCGACGTCCCGAGGTCGCTCTCCAAGACGTGGTCGAGGGTCGTTGGGCGCAAACCCTCGTAGGCCCAGCTGGCGGTAGGGGCATCGTCGGTAGATGTGGTCAGCTTCCCCGCAGTGATAGCACAACGGGCGTCGATCGGCCGTTCTCCACACGTCGGTCTTTCGCGGCACAGCTTGTTCTGGGCGGACGTGCGCCCGATCTTCTTGGCGTCAGAAATACTGCGGCGTTGGAGGCTTACGTTGGGGTGGTGCCGTATACTGATGAGCTGGGGGCGGTGGTCGTCAGGTAGCTGCGGTGTAACTCAGCGTAGGCGGTTCGGGAGCGGCGCCGACGAGAACTTCTGGCTGCAGCGCCTGATGAACTTCTTCCCGGACAATCTCGGCGATTGAGGGCGAAGCTGGGCTTGCGGCGGCAGGTAGAAGCTTCTGAATTTCCTCCCGCACGACGTCCCGGATAATCTCGCGGAGATTCGGGCTGTTGCAGCTAGAAGGCGAAAGTGCAGCGACGCCGGGAAGGCGCTGGTAGTGGGAGGTCCGTGATTGAAGGGCATGTTCAATGTTTGCCGCCTCGGTGACGAAACCTTTGACTGTTGTCGGAGGGCTCCGGACAAGACCGCCGAAGATGTTTTCCCTCACGCCCCGCATGAGGACGCGCAGTATTTTCTCCTCGGTGGCTTGAGGGTCTGCACGGGTACTCAGCCACAGAACATCATCCACAAAACTCTTGACGCTTTCGTTGGCTGCTTGAAACCTCGTCTGGAGAAGGTCTTCGGCCCGCTGCCTACGATGCCGATTCATGAATGTCCACTTCAGCTCAGTGACACAGGTGTCCCACGACGTCAGCAAATCCTCATGGTTCTCGAACCAGTTCCTTGAAGTTTTCTCAGAAGTAGAGATTTTGTAGGCACCGTTCTGTAGTCCAGCCGTTATGACGGGCTATGCGTTCATAATGTTGAAGCCAGTCCTCCACATCCTCATGGGCCTCACCATGGAATGGTGTCTGATTGCGTGGGGCGACAGGCATGAAGACAACGGATGGAGTGGTCGAAGTCTGCGGCGACTGGTTGTTCATTGTTGGCCTGTTTGACCGCTCGGTCCTGGGTGGCAAAAGTTCAAATTCCGGGTGTAGGCCTTGAATGCAGCGACTTAATCAGGTCTTGGTAGTGTCTTCGTCGGGTCGACGTGGGCTCGCTGTCGGACTTGCACTGCGGGTCCTTGCAGGGGTACGCTGCAGGGACATCCGTTACCCAGCACCTCCACCAAAATGTCACGAATGAACAGGCGAGGAAACAAAGAATAACTGGGGAAACTGAAATGTTTAATGGGGGGCGAACTTGTGCCCAAAAATTAAAAGGAAACAAAAGATAACAGCAGAGCGTCGCGGGCGTTGAAGTCGGCGAAAGAGCAGAGTCAAACGCTGGGGCGAAACTGACCCCGGCTTGCCACGCGGAGCCGCTTTTGTACACGCGTGGGTTTCTGGAGCATTCGGCGTTGAAGGTTCGGCGCGTAGAACATTCTAACCTCGAATCAGCAAGGCTGTTCTCGAATTTACCAGAACATCACATTACAGTGTCAACAAAAATGTGTAGCCGCGGCAAGGAATCGAAGCCTGGCCTTCTGCGTGGAAGGCAAGCGCGATAACCGTTAGGCCACGGGCGCGTTGCCTATTTGGCCAGCTGCGCTCGCGGCAATATGCTGTCTACACTGGAATGCGTCTCTGCCAAACTTCTTATCGCGGCGAGGGTACTTCCCAGTCAGCAATGTTTGCTTATATCCCGCCATAGCTAACTAGACGCATTTACGTCGAGATCATTGATCCCAACACTGATTACTAGGAGGGGGCTATCTTTCGGTGTTTAAAAGAAGATAGCAAATCAAGCCGAAAATAGGGGTGGGTTGCCTTTTGGGGGTAGGGCATCTCTCGGGATTTTACAGCAAGTTCCAGGTGTTTCGTAAGTAGGGGGTGGGCACTTGTCACGATGCAGGCACACGCTTGGTATTTGGCGGCCCTTGCAAGCAAAGCCGAAGCTACAAGCACGAGCATGTGGACCGCATGGGTGCATGCACCACAGGAACGTGCCTTCCTGGGGGGGGTCGCTGAAAGCCTGAAGCTCGCTCTTGTAGCTTTTGATGTGCTAGCACTTAAAATGAAAAAACGAAGTATAGGTTGTATACAGGTACAAGACTTTCTGGCTTTAGCCAAAATAGACCAATCTCTAAGCACTCTCGCTCAAAGCAAGGACTTCTCATTGAAATGTTTCCTTCTAAGACATTCGTTGAGCGCGTAGTCATGCCTAGAATCCAGCACCCTGCCAAGACTGGCCTTATTGGTCACGGTCCAAATGCTCGCAACTGGAGCCACCACACAAGCCACACTTCAGGGTGATAATACGTCGGCCATCTTGGTGGTTAAAATCCCTGTTGCCAGTTATTCAAAGCCTTATCTGAAATGGCAGCAAACGCTTTTCTGTCCCCTCAGATATATTAAAATCGTCTGCGCCGCAACAAAAGCAAAATCGTCCGAGCTTTCAGACACCGTATCTAAACCCCAGCAAGTGGCATTTTCCAATGGTAATCATCGCCAATTTTTCCCATTCTACATTAGGCAACAACTTTGCACACAAGACAATCAAAAAATGAAGCGTCCATACCCTAGCCATGACTGATGTAGTGACCCTAGCTGCAACGTCACGCAAATGTGAAGGTGAGCAACCGTGCACGTTCCATATAGAGCGAGGCGGTCCCGTAATGACTCACCCGGTCGCCACAGTGACGCAGCCGGCCAACGCAACCAACGACGGCACTTCAGACGGAACGTGGAACTCCCGGGCCAGTCCGTCCATCGGATTGTCGGACAAAGACAGCCAGTCCAACTTCAGTTCCACTACGCTTCCTGGCAGGTACTGCAGAAACCAGGAAGGAAGAGTGTGCTGCAGAAGAGCCTTGACTACACTCCGTCTCCCTGTAACTTGGGAAATGGCAAAGGCTAGGGTCCCAGTAGTTGCACGGAGTGCTGTCAAAGCCACGGACGAGAGAAAAGAAAGCCGCTTTTGTAAGAATTTTGAGCTACAGGCTAAGCTTTTAGGGTTAGAGGGGCAACGTCTGGGACACATAAAGGAGGATCCTGATAAGAGGGGAGTTCCTTCTTTTCCTCTTTAACAACTGCTTGGGTTACACTCTCACCCCTGTACCTTTGGTAAGGGCTACCACGTCCTTTGCCTCCCTTGCTCTCATTGGCTCGGAGCAAGGTCTTCCCCCCCCCCCCCCCCTGGCTAAGTGCTTGTGCTGAACGCAAACGGAGGTGTAACCTAAAACGAGGTGCGGAGGCGTAACCTCAAGCAAGGCACTATTTGCGGCTTTTTTAAGACAGCTTAGATGCAATAAAGGCAAGTTTTTTAGTCTGCTGATATTTCAGACCGTTCTATCATTCGGACGTCTTGTCGGTCCCTGCGAAGTCCGAAAAATCGGTTGGCGACTGTACTGCTGCACGCTGCTGCATGGCACCTGTTTTCAATGCTCGCGTGTCCTCTGCTTCAGGGCCGCTGGAGGTCTGTTTTTCAATGGGGGCTCTAACATGAACGGGTGCAATGCAAGCGACTGCCAACTTTATTTTCCTGCAGTGCTGAGATTCACTATTCCGTCAACGGGGCAATCGAAACCGAAGCCACGCCACTCCCCTCCATGGCCAAAGAAGTCCCGTAATGCAATGCACGCAGTGTTGCAAGCGGAGATTTTCTTAAGATGTCTTTTGCTCATTCGTTTCTGGACCGGATTAAGAAACATCATTCCTACTCTGAAGAGAATTTAAATCTGGGCAATGTGACAAAGCTTTCCCATAGTATGTTAAAAATTGAGGTCCACCGCCGCACAAATCGTGGCTTCCCTGTGGAAATAACCGCGCTCGTGAGATCGGAGGTTCTTCTTTCCTGCATTTCACAAGCTTTCATGAGGAGACAAATAGTATAGAACATCTAGAATGGCTTTTGTGTGTACTGCAATTTCTGCTCATCTTATTCAGTGCTGTCATCCTAACAGTGAACAGCATCTGGCAGGTCATGCTTTCGCTAACGATGACGCAAGGGGTACCCAATTTTGTAAAGCAAGGGACTACCAGCATGTATGCAGTGTGTCTAAATGCGTGCAAAAAGCAAAAAAATATGGCAGTTCATGACTTGATGCAATCCTTTGACATATCCTTAGCAGAAAGCGCTTTTACCAATGACAAAATTCAAGCTTGCGCAATCCCTAAGCGTAGTGTGAACGGCTTAAATTTTGCGAGGATCTCATTTTTGCATGCGACATAAAAAATACTGCGAAGAATTGGCCTGGGGGTATATTACTCTAAGGTAGCTAATACATGCCATATCACTCCAAATAAAAAAAAATGTTGTGCCTGCAAAGTATTTCCAAAACCCATACTTTCCAAACTTTGCGAAATAATGAGGTCACAAAAATAGTGGTAATTCAATTCAACTGGTAAGAATTTGAATTGGGACTGAAGTGCTCAAGCGGTTAAAAAAACAATCATTTTATCTGCCTGTTTTGCTTCTCTCAGATAAGTGGACGATTGCATGGAGCTACTAAAAGTTGAGTACTGTAACAAAAAACTTTGTACAGCAAGTCACAAAAAAAAAAAAGGTTTTTTTTTTTTTTTTATAGCAAAAAGAAACTGCAGTGCCCAATGCTCGTTGTCTGCTTGAATCTAGCACTAGCAGTCCTAACCAGATGTCAAAGTTTCAGCACAAACCATTATCTCACTTTTTGAAAATTCTAAAGGGATATAATGGGGTCCATTCTCGGCCTTTTTCGCTAACTGGTGCCATAGAGCTTAAAAGGTAATTGCAAAGAAAAAAAAGTTTTCTTTTTTTTTTTTAAACAGCCTAATTGGGACAAGCATGTCAAAAAACAATTTTTCCACGAGAAAAAAAATTTTTTATTGCAATATTTATTGTGTGAGACTGATTTTAGTTTGCGGCAATTTCGTCCGTTTTAAATCGCGCACCACGAAGTTGGGGTTCCATGACGTTTAGACCCAATTGGCTGCTATGCTTCTCATTGGCTAAGAGTTTGATTGACAGCTTAGATCTTGGTTGTGAAACCTTTGTTATTTGTTGCAATTTCCTTTTGAGCAGCATATTTTTATGTTTAAAGAATAACCCACGTAATGAGAGTTATCATTTTTTACAAAAGGCTTACAAGACGGGAACTTCCGTTTGGATTAATACAATAACAAACAAGAGCTTCGCCATTCTTTCGAGGCCGCCGATGTCTCTGTTTCCGCCTGTCTCGCCTACCTCGACTAGTCGTTTCGCCGAAGTAATCAGTGTTTCATGTTGACCTAGGTGCTTGAGTGAGACTTCCTGTAGTGAAGTAGTGTGTGTTTAGCAGCTGTCGCAGGTGTTAGTGATAGGAAGTGACGCAGGGTTTTGGTTTTCATAGCGCGGTTTGTTACTTTAGTTTTCGTCTTTGCTTTCTTAGCGTGCTTTGTTGTTTTCTTTTTTCTTCTTTTCTTGCGCATGCAAATGCTGGCTTTTTGGTGACGTCGGCTCCTGTAAAGCGGCGCTGTCGCTAAGCGCTGCGAAATCAGTGATCGCAACAGCGAGTCTTCCAGCAGCCATGTCGCCCCGAAAAACCACAAGCTAAATGCTATTTGGCTGCAGGCAATCGGGAGTTTGTGTCGCGACAAATGAGTCCAGGTATGTTCTCGTCATTTTGCTCCGGAGGCCTTCGAGATTCGCACCAGGTGCACCGAACGTCCATGACTGAGACACGGCTGTTACGTAAAAAACCTGGCACAGCCAGGTTATTACGTAACAGCTGTCCGCAGAAGCCTTCAGACGTCCAAATTCTGCTTTAGACGACATATATATTTTTTTTTTCTCGGCTTCCCAACCATCTTACCTAAAGTTGTTTGAATTGAATGTGTACTCTTATCGTGAATCAGCTTGTGATTACGCCTTTGTAGATCATCTTATTCACTTTGCTGGAGAGACGCAAACGACGGGCATAACAAAATCGTTTGCATATTCTGCATACCTCGCAAAATAACTTCCCCAGTCATCCTGCGATACACAAAGTCCGCACCGTCCTGACTTCCCAGTTTTGTACCTGCATTAGAGCAGTTTGTACCTGCTAGTAGGTATGCCTACTGAAAAAGGAACTTGGGGCAGTGTCAGAGAGGAAAGAGACAATGTTTGGAAAGCTTGGTTACTCTCCCCAATTTCTGAACTCTCAAGTGATTGTACCATAATAAACGCACCAACGCCTCTTCCCAAATTAAAGAAAAAGCACTATGTTCACTACGTAAAAAATGGTCTCAGTTCATGCATCTGCGGGCAGGTACGAAATCTTGCTAAAATTTATTCATACCGCATGATGAGCACTACAAACTCGCAAAAGATTTGCAGGAAAATATGGGTGGTGACTTAAATTTCCCTGAAATTCTGTGTAACCGGTCGTTTGCAGGACCGAATCATCTACTCGAGCAGTGTGCGTCGTTGTGCAAACATGTCGCTGTGCAAATGCAGTCTAACAACAAGCATAAAAACGGCAGATTTAGAACAATTTGGAGTCAAGTGTTCAATTAAAACGATGTAATTTTGTTGAAAACGCCCCGCAGCTTTTTACTCACGGTATGCGTCGGGAATCTTCTACATTGTTAGACAGAACCAAGAAAGATTTACTTTTAAAAACGCTCGCTGCGTCCTTTCTGACCAGTTTGACTGGATCAGCTGACGACGATGGGACTGAACCCGTTGAACCTCAACCCCACAACAACCAATTTGCATTCCGTGTTAGTGTGGGTGTCTACTTTCAAGCACTGCACCACACACACGACAAACGTTTCAGTTCTTTGTCGCATCGCCGTGTTGCACCAAACAGAACGAGATCGCCGAAGTAAACGCAGCGCTGTCGTGAACCTTGGCTAGTGTTTGCGCACTCGTGGACCCTGTGACTCCCTTCGCTTTCAAAGCACACACGACGATTACGAATGATACTTTCCGTCTTCCGGGAACATCTCAGAGGCACTTCTCAGGTCACGTCTTCGTATACATGTGCTTGCAAACCAAGGAGGCTTCTGGCGTCCCGTCAAACCAAAACAATACCGGCACCACGTTGAACGTGCGTTGTTCCAAGATTTTCATGGACAAAACAAATACAACGAAAGCAAACCGGCTCTAGCTTTCAGCGTACATCGACGGCACCTTCACTTCCCCCCCCCGCCCCGATCCGTGGCCGGAAGTGAAGACGCTGCGTAATCCGCAGCCAAGTCAATCCAAGAGAATCCAAGACTGAGAGGCGAGGTGTACTTCTGCGTGCGGGTTGAAAGAGCGGGAGTTTCAAGTGTGGAGAGGTTGTGACTCCGACTAAATTACGTCCTGTAACGTAAATATTGCTAAAAAAATTTTTTTGTTTTCGCAGAAGATTTGTTTTGTGATATGCTTGTCCCAATTAGGCTGTCTAAAAAAAAACTTTTTTTTTCTTTGCAGTTACCCGTCAGCCGCCTTTTTCCAGTTGAAAATTTAAGAAAATCCCTGATAACTGTGAATGAATTAATGAATAGTGCTGAAACTTTGCCACCTGGTTCGGATCGCTAACGCTACCTTTGGGCGGAGAATGAGTGTCCGGCGATGCACAGCTTATTTTTGCAGTAAAAAAAACATGTAAATTTTTTGGGGAAGAAACCTCGCAGATGCACTGACAGTGGATGGTTGAATAGATACTCTCAGCCATCAGTTATATGCCTACTGTTGACCAGTACAATATATTTGCAACGTGACAATCACATCCCGTGTTGCAAATAACAAAATTTTAAAAGAAATTATTTTGTTTTGTTTATATTAATTCAAAGGCATCTAGCAATGCACTACATGAGGGGGAAAGCAAGGTGTGGGAAGTCGTAATACATATCACACATGCACATAAAGAAAGATCAGAAGTAGTGACAGTTACTGTGATTTAGTACAGGGTGTTACTTTTAAATCAAACATGTATAAAATAAAAAAAAGTAATGAAAGGAAATTTTTAATGCCGTCTTTGCAGGTGACTTATATGGCCAGTGGGACGTAGTTAAAGTTCCGCGTTTTCGGTTTTTATTTTTTCCAAATTGGGCATACTTTTTTCGGTGTTTATTTTAAGATTCAATTTCCTTTTTTTTTCTGTGTATATTTATTCCCCAAAAACTTTTACCGTTTTTTTCGGTGAATATGAAAGAAACACCATTGGACACCGGATGAGACGATCCTTGTAGCTGTGATATTTGTGATCACTCCAAGACTAACGGCACATATACATACGTGGTCTGCAATCATTATGCGAGTAAATACGGTAGGCTTTTCCTCTCCCTCACCTGTGCGTTGGTCCTCGACGTTTCAGGAGTGGGCTACCTGGCCCCCACACCCCAACGAGTTTGAGACCCCTGTACTATAGCCACTGGCATCCTAATCTAAGGAACGAACCACGAAGCAAAAAGCAGTAACATAATGAACCATGCCCTGCATTCCTCGAGCTTCCAAGGACTACATATATCATAGACTCACTGCACCTGTCTTTGTACACAGAGCCACGTCGACCGGATCACGACGTCTCCGACATACCTGCAAGGCGTTGTCGCTGAGCTCCAGCTTACGCAAGGATTGCATCGATCCCAGGGAGTCGGGCAGCAGTCTGAGGTTGTTTCCGGGAGCCAAGAGCGTTGCCAGCTTCGGCAGACGACACAGCCCCGGCGGGAGCGCAAAGAGCTGCGGTAGTGGGTCGTGCGCCCCAATTAGGAATACGCCCTACAGCTTGTAAACACCTGTTCGCACGTAAGGTATAGACGCAGCGCTATAGACATGGTGCCGACCTTGTGCTATGTCAGCGTTGCGCGACAAGTGGCACCGTCTGATGTACTGGTGGCACGCTACACCCGCCTCTCCCAGCGTACGCGTGCAATGCAGCACTAATTGAGCTGAGTTAGTGCTGAGAGTAATGCTAACGTGGCACTTATTTCGCATCATCACAGCGCCGCGCTGCATGTGTGAACCAGTCATAATCGTGTCAGCATGCAGACAAAAGCGCTTTGTGAATACATGAACCCGTCAAAGTGTCATCTGATGTCACAACGTCACATGATGTCACAGAGATTGTATGAATGCAGTGCACCTAGAATGCCTTTGGGTTCACGTCACAGTGTCATGTTACACTCACGCAACGCTGTGATGTCACCAGGGTTACATTCAGAGACATGAAAACTCCAAGGCTGGCGCTATAAATGCTACAGACTTAAAAAGAACTACAGTTTAACAATGCCATAGACAAGCGCTACTGTAACAGCATGCCTAGCAGCGAAATTAAAGGAATACTGGGTTGCGAGAACAGCTACACCTAAATTTCTCCCAGATTTCATAAAAGTAGTACCGCCCAGTCCTGCAGGTATTGTGAACTTTTTATGAACAATGCTCGCACACCTACTTCGCCGCAGAACATGAGAACTACCAATCACTGCCGTTTTCAGAGAGAGGCCAGCGAACAGCGAAGCACCGATAACAGTTGTATCGTATCTCCGATCTAGAATGCTACCGGCGCCTCGCCATTTTCCGCCCTCCTTTCATAAATGACAGTAACAGACGTGCCCTGCAAAAAGGCAGACACTCATACTGTCTTTGCAACAATTAATGAATAAATGAATGAATAAATAAACGTATGAACGAACAAACCTCATTCTGCGAGACGTCCAGCTCCTCCAACGTGTCTCGAACTCGTCCCTCGAACAGTCTCTCAGGAAAGGCCCTCATTTCGTTGCCGGCGAGCACAAGCCGGCGGAGGGGAAGGTCGCCCAGCGCCGCCGGAATCTCCCGCAAGCAGTTCTCGCCGAGGTCGAGGTGGCTCAGGCGTTCCAGCGAGGTGACCTCGCGGCCGACGCGGGCCAGCGAGCAACCCCGGGCTGTCAGCGTCTTGAGCGTGTCCGGGAAGCGGGAGGGGTAGTCGCCCTTTTTGGCGACCACCATCGACGACTTGACGGGGGTGACCTTGGTGGGCGGCTGGGAGAGGTCGGCGCACTCGACGGGTTGACCTCGCACCAGGCGCCCCAGGAGAGTCAAAAATCCACGGAGGTTAACAGGGTCGGCCTGAAAAACGGGGCAAAAACGTTCTCCAGCTTGACAGCCCGCGGGAGCGTCGGCAGTCGGGAGTTGGGATGCCGCGATGACGGCGACACTCGCCTCTGCTGGTGCTTTTTGCCGGGACCCCCTTGACGCGTGGGCGGGACAGGATGCTAAACACGCCTGTCCAAGACACACCCCAGGCAACATGGTCCTGGGGTAACTAACGGCTGGTTCACGCAGTTCTTGTCGTGAGCAGTGAAGTGTCTACATTTTTAGGATTTTTTAAACATTATTCTTTCGCCACATGCGCGAAATAAATCCGACAATGTTATAGATAACCGTTTCTCGTAGACAATATGCAACTTTGATCTCGCGAAGTGCTCAATCGCAGTCCAACGCAAATGTGCGAACCAGCCGTAAGTGTCACCGGAGATGAGAATAAAACTGAAACTCAATATCATTTCAAACGACGAAGCTGTAGCAAAAATGAAAACATTCAAATATCTAGGTGTCAGATGTACACGAGGTTGTTACGAGGGCCGTGCGAACACTTGTATTTCTGCGTCCAAACTTTTAAGAAATCGACAACAGTAGACTATAACAGAGCTCGCCCGGCTCGTCTCGCCTAAGTCCACCCAGCGTTGGAGTATGAAGGCACTGTCTGAGATGCCCTCAAGGAAACCGCATTGAAAGACAAGAGAGGATACAAAACTCTGCTGCTGGCAGAATGGTGGTAAAGCTATAGGATCATTTGATAGAAAATACATTGTGCTCATACACACAAATATACGCACAAATATAACTATCGGGAAACGACAATTCATAACCTAGGGGTAAAAATAGCTTAAATCCCGATCGTTTAACCGACATTAAAACAGTCATTCGAAGCATTGAAACAATATTACTGGAAAGCCGATTCTGTTCTTCAACTGTATGTGGAAAGAAACTATAGAATTTGAAGGCATCACCCCCACAGTTACAAATGCAATCCAACCGTTGTGAAATAAAATATGGCAGATGCAAAAACCTGCTTTTGTCCATTCATTTTGTTCGAGCATATGCTGTGAATTAGATTTAACTGACAACCTTTTGCATGAAAATACAGTGGCATATATTGATGCTACAGTGGGTAGCCCTTGCAAATTCAATCGTTTGCTTCATGATTTATGAAGCTTGTAAACAGCCTACCGTTTGTAAGTGTGAAAATTGAATAAAGTATGATTAATTAGTTTAACTGAAGCATGTGTCGTTTATCCAATTCAGAAGCTAATAAAATACACTTACAAAAACAATATGGCAAACTCAAAATTTGACTAATTACTGCTTTCTAATTGAGTCACTGCGATTGCTGGAAGCAATTTTAACCAATAAATTATGGTGTTATTATAACGTTGAATCTGTTCTTAGTCCATGAATCCAATCTTGCTGTGGTTTGACTTGGAAAGGTTTGATGCTACAATTATTAGTTGAGTGCGAACAGTGAATTTTGAGTTTGAAGCCAATTTGAGGCGAATAATGTCGAGACCAATTTTAACGAAGTCAATGGGAATCGGAAATCACTTCGTTATATCCGCTATTTCGTTATAACAGACTTCGGTTATAACGAAGTGCAAAAGAGAATAGGAAAACGCGATCGCTTCGCTGTAGCCGCTATTTCGTTATAACCAACATTATAACCGGTCTTAACAGAAGTGGTCTTGACCGAACTTTTTCAAATCGGATCTCAAATAGTTTCTTCATGTCTTTCACTACTGCTGCATTATGCTTATATGAAAACCCAGCTAAACTTGTGAAGGTTGTTCTCAAGCTTCAACTTGTCTACTTATAAGCTAATTTTAATCTAACCATATTAAGGAACTGCGACCTCAGGAACTCTGATGCCTTGGGTTGTCAAATAAACAACGTAGTTAGCATAAAATTAAACTTGTAGAGAAGCCGGGCTATACCCAAATGAGTGGATTTACAAATCCTACTATTTGCAAATATTCCTCCTACTTCAAATTTGAAAAAAAAAAATACAAGTCTTGCTTTATGCAAATGCTCTTTCTTCAATCTCAAATTTGAAAACAAAATAAAAAGTAATTACAAATGATGAATACAGGTTGTCAGGGCACATCAGTCTAACATATCCTCTTGCATAATTTAATATTGAAAATTTTACTGCAATGTAGATATCAACATTCATAAAATTTCAATCTTTTTTTTTTTTAATACATTAGGTACGCGTGTGCACCATTCATTTTTGAAAAAGTACCTTTTTCCGAAGCACGCAATTGCAATGTTAATACTTTTCCAAGTGCTCATTGCGGCCAGTTACCCTGCTGAGTGTGCTTCATACCGCGCACGAGTGCACTGCAGAAAAGCAACACCCGCATAGTTCGCTTCCGCGGGTGTTGCTTCTCTGCAGTGCACCTGTGCGCGGTAAGAAGCGCGCCCAACGGAGCCAGCCTGCTGCGATCAACACTTCGAAAAATATAAAAGCAGCAGTTCATTTCGAAGCAAATATTGAATAGTGTATTATTCTAAACTACTCTTCGAAATATTCAATATTTGCACAACACTAGCAATTATAGATTTTGGAAAGAATTTCCATCAAGAAATTATGGCGTTCCATATTAGAATTATAAGTCTGTTCCTAGTCCATTAACCCAATCTTCTTGCATTTGAGAAAGTTTGACAAAGCATGTACTTGCCATTTTGATAGAGTCCCATGCCAGAGGGAACAACAAAAAATGTAACATGCAAGTTGCTTGGAAATGGAATGTTTCATCGGCAAAGAGCAGCGCACCTTTTTGATGACAACATCGTGCTTGGGGTCATGGAAGCTGATACGTGCTCGTCCTTCGCACACACACCTTGTGAACACTTGGGCGATGTTGCCATCAACCTAAACAGCAAAACAAGAAAGCGGGAAATGGAAGCTTTGCAATGATCTTTCATAGTATAGCACACCGCAAAACCGTTGAATTTTAAGAGCTGCTCGAAAGAGCAAAATTTAGAACTAACTATAAGCCTTGCACCACAGGCACGGAGTCTGAAACTCCAATAAACCTTACAAAGTACCTGGAATGTATCAGCTATGCAAATTCATCCCACTTTTGCTAGAAAAACTTGCGCGAGGGCACCACTACCGTCATCCATTGGCCATTGCGCCAACCACACGCGTGTCGTTATTCTCTTACTTTTCACTCCGGTAAGCTCAGCCTTCGAAAGTTTTACGAACAGAATGCACCATCTACGGGCAACTGTGCAGTAGATCATAGCACAATATGTCAAGAAATCTATGTTTGCAGCCCGTTCTAAGTGGGTCAGATCCATCTGTCCCAAACACACATGTGGCATGGAAAAACAAACCTATTCTTTTGAGACATAATATTCATTTTGTAGAAATCTGGACAACAAGCCAATCGAAATACAACTCTTCGCGTATGGAAGAGGGAGTCGTCTCAAATGTGATAAACGCAATGAGGCTCTGCCCCTGCAGCTGTTCTTTCCTCATGGCGGTGGCAATGGCGGAGAGCAGATGACATTTAAGCCATGATTTCCTCGTTCGTTGGGGCACCTCTGCTACCTGTTTGTCTAAAAGGAATACATGCCCTTCATACTATTTCCTGTCCCTTTTCTTGAAAACAAAGTCATCATTGGTAAGGAAACTGTAGATTTCTGAAAGCCATAGAAAAGACAAGACAGAAATCACTACAACTAGCAGATGATGCCGGCAGACAGCATCAGCGTTCGGCGTCCGAACGCCAATTTTGATGCCACTGTTCCCTCTAGATGAGGAGCAGATGGCACTGTTGTTTGCTCTGATTGGAGGAATGCAGTGGATAGAGGCAAACACAGCTAGCCTTTGTGTCCATCCAGTATCCTTCCAATCAGAGCTCGGCGCTCTGGCGTCACTGTACCCGCTGCACACATAAAGATCATATATGCTAACTCTACAGGAAATGGTCTGACATTTTCCCATGCATTCTGGCTGTTGCAAGCTGTGGAACATGGAGGCAGACCTTTGGAGTCCCACAAATGGTTAACAACTAGCTTTACGTCTTATTCCCTAGATTACACGGTCTTCCCAAGAACCAATCCACATACTTACCGGTGGAAAGATAGTTGCGCTCCTTTCAAAGCTTTCTTTTTGCATAGCGTGCAGGTGTATGGCATCGCGTCAATGCAAAACTAAACCGGATAAGCAGCTTCGCGCTACAGTTTTGGTAGGCGCGCCCCAGAAAAACAAAACCGCATAACCGCCACATTTCCGAAATTTTGACAGAAGGGGAGTTAATGCAGCGTAATGACTTTATTGCTTTTTATAAGCGTTAGAATAGCTCAGAATTTAGTTTACAATGTTAAATTATCAGTTTATTTTGCTGACAGTTTTCAGTATCCGCGATTACCATTGCGACGTCCTTCAGCTGGCAACATTGGTTTCTCTCGTGTTGTGTCACGCTCTTTCACTTGGGAATCCAAATGTTGGCGCAGAGAATTCGCCACTCCTCCTTACCCACCTTTACCCCCCTGGCTGCACAAGAAGCAGACGAACTTGCTCGCCGCATAGCTTCCTTCTCCATTGTAAGCTGGTGGTGAAAACCATAGGGTATGTTCATTGACATCGTTATATACACCATTTTGTTTGTTTATCAGCTGTCTGCACGTGCCAAAGTCAACCATTCCAAAGATGCACCTGACATCATTGAATGTGCAGTGCTTAGAGACCTAAGTTTCATTATGCTGACACCTAACAACAAAATGGCGGATTGACGCCATGTGAAAGCTCACTATTACGTCCACTTGAACAAGACACAATCTCTGAAACGTCAGAGTAAAAGCTGTCTAGGCAGCGATTAGCCGAGTCGGAGTCCATTGCAAACTGATTTTTAGAGTGCAGCTCTTAGGCGCCCGTTTCCAGGTTAAGCGGCGTCAGCGTAATTGCGCTATATTTATGTTATGTGACCTCAACACCTATTCGATTCCCCGCTAAATTTAACGGGGAGAATGACGTCACATGACTTCGTGTCACATCACCTATGAACAAATTCAGTTTCTCCGCTAGATTTAGCGGAAAAATTGACGTCACGTGGCCTCAACAGCAATTCAATTCCCCGCTAAATTTAGCGGGAAAACTGACGTCACAGGAACTTAATGAAAATTCAGTTTCCCCACTAAATTTAGAGGGGAAAATGACGTCACATGACTTGGTGTCTGTCACCCATGAACAAATTCAGTTTCTCCGCTAGATTTAGCAGGAGAAATGACTTCACGTGCGAAGGAGGAGGAGGAGAGGGGGAGAACGGGAGGAGGAGAGGAACGGGGGAGGAGCAAGGAGGAGAGGGTAAGGAGGAGGGACATACCCTTCTCCTCCTCCTCAAGAGCTGCACTCTAATTTCGCATTACAGATTTATAACACATGAAAGAGGAAGCAAAGAGAGAACGGGCAGAGCGCGCTCTTGGCTCATGCCGTTCGGCAGAACACCGGAAGTGAAGACGAAACCAATCTAAACAGAACAGTCAGCACACCTCAAATGGACTGTGCAGCACGAGTGAATCATTAATTGGGAGCTTTTAAACTTCCCGATCAATACTGCACTTCCAAGTTGCCCAGAAAGCCTATGCAACAATGAAGAAAATACAAGGACAGGGTACATACATTCGAGTGCTTGCATATGTATGCGACATTTTTTTTTTGTTTCTTCGTCTGTGTGCAGGTTCTTGTACAACTAAGCAGCACAGTGTTGGCCAAGCGGTTACGCTGAGATACCGGAGAAGAGGGTAATTGTCTGTGAATACTAGGCTTGCCCTAGCATGCATGGGCATACTAGGCCTTTCTCAATCTTTGCCGAGTTACTAAAAAGATCATGAAAAGATTTTTCAATTCCTTCTAACCTCAGCTTTTCTTAACTCAAAAGTGAAATGAGAAATCACATGGTTGTGACAGTATTTTACCGAAACCATAAGTTTTCCCAGCCGACCGAGAATCGCCGAGGTTAGCCGTCCGTGTCCCTCACACCTGGGGCAATGACCGACAAATGTTGACCTAGAGCAGCAGCCGTCCCAGTCGTCATGCCGACAGGCCAGTTGGATTAATTTTGCTTTCATTGAGAGAAATAAGAGTGATGTAAGATTGTCAACTTTGGCAGTGTTGTTTCGGAATATGACGACTCCAAGCTTCCACCCTGCTTACTAAGTGCACCGTGGAACTTGTAGTTTGCAAGTGATGATGAGTGCCGCCACGGCTGCGGCACTCATCGGCCGTTTACGAGAATCCAAATATCCGTCAATTGATCGTTGACGAGCACATACGTACGAGTGATGCAGTGCTCGTGTCCTATGCGCGAGCTGGGTTCGGCCGACATGCTACCGCGGATGGATCACAGTGAAGAGATAGAGAGCTCTTCGAATGAGTAAGAAATAGTCCGCTTTCATTTTCAAATGTTCGTACCTAAAAGCAGGTTTTTGGCTCGCTACCCTTACACACTACAATTTGTAACAGGTTAAGATTTGAGGGGAAAGCTCCTCCCACCCCTTGCCACTTTAGCAGAGCGCTGGAGAGGCTCCTCTCCAGCGTTCGCTCTGCTAAACTGGAAACGGGTCTTCTTTTGACCCACTTTTGAATCTGTTTTCTTTTGACACAGTAATCGCAACCCTAAATTATTTATCCCAATCCAAAATTCATTTCATGGTTCCTTTAAAAGTTCTGACTGTTTTACTTTCAAAATTAGGAATATTTAATAATTTCAAGACCGGCTTTAAACCCTCTTGTGACGGCTTTATGTTGGACCCTTGCCCCATGAACGCAGCAGCCGGCAGTCTGGCTACACGTTTTTGCGGACACTTACCCGGTATTTGGTTCCGCAAGGGTCTTTGACTGTGTTCAGGTAGAGAAAAGGGCTCTTGTTGACCGGGTGTCGCGTAAGCGTAAGCGTCGAGTACGCTGCCCGCCGCTTGCACTGGGTCGGCGTCGGCCCCCCACCGCCGTTCACAAGGCGGTAGTGGATCTCCGTCTCGCAGTTCAACCTCATGGTCGGAAACACTCGCCGGACTTGTTGGGGTCAACGTTGAAATGTCCGGAATATGCAGGTCAGTACAAAACAAAACGGATATCGCGAACTCAACTCAAACGAACACCAAGGAAAGTTCCCGCCGTTCGACGACGAGCCAACGCGCGCGCCATGATAGCATCATGGATAGCTTCGGCAACTACTACCATAGCCAACTTGTCCGGTCAGTTTCGAACGGCACAAAACGTGTATCGTTTGTATACTAAAAGCCGAATACTTACAAATCATTTATTGATACATTTTGGTAAAGCAGATAGAATTGACGGTACAAGAAAAAGTGTTTTGTCCAATCTTCGTTGTTTTTTTCGCTTTTCTTTCAACTTTTTAGCAAGCCAAAGTCAAAGCCGTTTAGAACGCGGCAAATTTCAATCGACTCAAGATGTTCAAATGCGAGGTAATGTGCATACGAGCATCAACTATCATTAAATCGATTAAACACCTTGCTCAGAGTTTGAATGTCCAGAACAAAAATAATAAAGGCGAGAATGAAGGCGCGACACAACACAAAAGAAAAAAAAACATTGCCATGTTTGTTTTTTCACATATTGTTTGCTCATTTCACAGTATTAGCAGTTTAAACAGAAATGAGAAAACGAAACAAAACAGCATGGGTGTCAGTCTTATGAAAGCACTTACGTAAAAAGTGGCACAGACAACTATACAGATGTACATAGCTTGCACCGATGTAACTTGGTCAGACATAATAGGAGAATGGGGGCACGAGTGCAGCTTCCGCGACATTAATTCTGGCCACCAGAAAGAAGGGCAGACAATGGGAGAAAAAGCGCATAGATTCCGCTGCATTAAGGAGACGCTTTTGGCCACCAGAAAGGTGGGCGGACTGCCATCACACGCAAGCCACGTATTGAACTGCGTTATGTTCCAGTATTTGTAATAGCTTCCGCCAATGCAGAAGCCAGCTTTTGGCCGAGTTCTTTTCCCCAGCTGTTTCTCGGGTCCCAAGTAGAACTCACTGTTTCGGAGGTTCCTGCTAACTTCTAACCGTCCTTTTCTTTTTTTTTTTTTTTCTTTTTTTCAGAAAATATGAAGCGTTTAAAGAAGCGCGAAAAAACAGGTGGTAATTGAGCCATCCAACAACCAAAAGTTTTTTTTTCTTGTGAATATTTTATTGCTTGTAATGCGCTCTTACAACCTGAACTTCCAACAATAAAGTCATAAACACACGAGAGGATCATCCCATCCGGTAAACAGCTGCAGCCGCGAAAACACATTTGCAGTTGTTGACAAGCAAATTGGCAGTGAAAAATGTGCAAAATGTCAGCAGTGCAAACAATGTCTCTGTGCACATAACCCTCCCGGATGATACTCTACAGATAACACGAATCTCTGTGATGTGGTTGGTCTGAACCATTTCGGAGCACCCCTTGGAGCAGCCAAAGGACCACTTTGGAACAGCAAAAAATAACTTTTGGATCGTAAGCACACATCAATTTCATTCATACCACTGTGCTAAACTATGCAACTAAAAGAAAATGTCTACTTTTACGCAACTGTTAGCATCAATTGCGTGGCAGGTTTGATTTCCTCGAACCCAGAACAAGCTGTTTGGGTGCGAACACCGAGCACGGCAACAAGCTACCAATTGATGGACAGTATGAACTGCTGTGAATGATTATTTTAGGCATGGAATAAAAGGTAAACCAAAGAGTACATTCAACTGAAATAATGTTCAGAATAATTTTGAGTGACCACGTCGATGTATAATTCTAGGTCTAATGGTTAATCTGTAATAAAACTGCAATTCTTAATTGAGATAAAAGAGCAATGCTTTTGTCATTAAATTATAAACATTAATTACATTTTATATGTAGAACTTCCTTATAAACAAAAGTCGGCATGGGAACAAAATATATCTTTGAAACAATCCAACCGAATGCATTGAGGTTATTTCCAAGCTTCCATCCACTGCTCCAGTTAGTCTAGTTTTAATTTACTTTACTGACTTTGTAACTGAACAGATGGAACCTAGGTACCTAAATGTGATGACCAAACGAAAGCGTTGACATATACCTATAGAGCAATCAATATAAATTTTCTCGCAATATCTAAGTATGCTTGCTAAACCTCGAATCTGAATAAGATATCACAAAGTATTGCGATATCTTATTTTCTATAAAATTATCATAACTTGCTTTTTTCTTTTTTTTAAAGAAATTATTACTGCAGGGTAGAGTTGTTAAATCAACATTTACTACTCCACCTACTTTTGTTGTAGAACTGTTTTTCTTCGTGTTTGGAAGGGGTGTAAATGACATAGTAGTTACTGTTTGCGAGCAATGGTTAAGTGGACACATTTGTAGAAATGTAACAGTATTTCTAACTTATTTACATTTATGCTCATGTAACTCATATCTTTTCCACAGTACCTTTCACAGCACTGCTTCCTGGATACCTCGCTAGAACTGCACAATATTGAAAAGTTTGCAAAAACAGCCTAATATGTAGCAACTGATATTGTATGAATTTTCGAAATTATGAATAGAAGTTTCTAGTGATGCACTATTCAATATTTGCTTGTAGATAAACTGTGATATTTATATTTTCAGAAGTGGTAATTGCATGCATTTTAGCCCCGCTGAGCGTGCTTCTTACCGAGCACAGGTGCATCGCAGAGAACACACAACCGCAAAAGCATGCTTCACGGGTGTTGCTTCTTTGCACTGCACAGGTGCTCGGTGAGAAGCGCAGTTAACATGGTAACCCGCAGCGATCAACATTTGGAAAAGTATGAATATCGCAATAGCGCGCTTGGGAGGAGAGGCACGCTTTCAAAGCAGGATGGTGTATGCATGTACCTCAATTATTTAAAAAGAAATAGAAACTTTGTAAATTTACGCTGATATCTACATTGCAGTAAAGCAATCTGCATCGCCATCTATAATTTTTTTCTTTTTCTTATTTAAGATTGAAGGAAGAATATTGGCATAAAGCAAAAGATTTGTAAATCTACTCAATTTTAGCATCTCTATAGGTTCAATTTTATGTCAAATTCGTCGTTTACTCGCCATCCCAAGGCATTGAACTTTCTGAGGTCACACACAGTCCATAAAGATTAAAATTAGTTTATAAATGGACAATAGGAAGCTTGGGAACAACCTTCATGAATTCAGCTAGGTTTCTGTTTAAGAATGGTGCAACAGTAGTGAAAGCCTTAGAGAAACTATTTGAGTTTCAATTAAAAAAATTCAGCCAGTACCACCATTCGCTGTGAACTCAAAATTCACTATTCGCGTATGAATATGTAGTAGTAAGACCCGCATAAAATTTGATGGTTACTTGCAAAGGCGCTGGTTCTGTCTGAAGATGGTAAACAGAAGCTAGTTGCGTCAGCAAACAAGCGTATCACAGTCTTAGAGACGGAAGTTTTTCTAGACCTTCATGTTTGAAAGCAAGATAATAATTTCTGCTTATAACCGCCAAAACTCTTTAGGTTCGGTACACCTAACCAAAAAGAATGAAGAGGCTCGACGCACGTTGATATGTGGAGAGTAAGCGCAACGTCAGTATCGTACAGGCAAGATGAGCTCGCTCAAAAGCAACATAATATGGAACGGCACTTCTGAACTTTGGCACTGCCACGAGCCTATATGTTAAGGCAAATAAATAAAGTCATACGCCACGAGCAGAGGCACTTCATGAACCGCTTTCGAAAAACCCAAAGCATGTCGTCTACGTGCGACGAATACAAAACGGGAAAAGTATGTTATCTGAACTCTGCACAAACAAACAGAAACTAGGCACGATTCCCAGATGCAGCTGAAGAAGGCCCGAAGTATGCTCGGAACACCCGATCGACGTCTTGAAACACCTGAAAGCGAGAACAAAATTCGTTAGGTTTTAACTACACTCGCCTGGCAGACGCTAGTCTTTAAGCCACAGTCGTACGTCGTACGAAAGACGGCCTGCAATCAGAGGCAAGTTTCTTCCTCGCAGGGCGGTCCAGCCAAGTTGGTTACACAAAGACTGCCTGTAGACGTGTTCGAGACACACGTGTGTGTGAAGCGAACATGCTTTGAACTTGCTCGAGGAGCGCTTGCAGATAACTCTGTCGTCGTGCCTGCGGCGAACTCTTTTGTATGGTGTACGCGTGGTGTGACTGCGGCTTTAGGAATTGCTCCAGCACCAGATACCATGCTGCCCAACCGACGTAAGCCAAAGTAGTCAAAGCACGAGCAAAGCGGTCTATTTCCTCTATCTTATGCCATCTGAGGTGTTCTTTCTTTCCAACTTTCGATGCTTTTAAAAAATATGTCGGTGCTTGTACGGGTGTTTAGCTTCTGCGACGCGATGCGCTTTGCTTTGTCATGACTGGGAAGTGTACGCAATATTAGGAATGCCATTAAAATTACTCAAATAAAAATGGAAGAATGCCTGTTTTTATTGGTCCAAGAAGCTAAAGATTCCCTTAGTAGCTCGCATCCAAAAACTCTCAAAGCTCTATAAGTTGAGGGCTTTGCTTTTCATACGTTCACGATGAGACGTCGTGAACAGTTTTTTCTTTGCAACAACGAAGACAACAGACGTGTGCATTAAGAACTTAAAGCTTCGGCTAAAACATACTTTTAATTGAGTTTAAAAAATGTAACGGCGGAGCACCGCCTCATTAGTTGCGGGATGGGGAGATCTGGGCAAAAAACCTCAACCAGGTATGTCACGAGAAAAGTATGGAGTTACGAGACATTGGCTTTTGTTATGAATGGAGTTCATTCTACAGCTGATTCCACGAAACATGGGACGAATCGTTTCTGCTAAAAGTATGCATCTCGCAGAAAAATGGTTGACTTCGCATTGGTCTGTCTCCAGAAAGTCTCCAATCGAAACCGAGCCTTCAAATGCAGTAATTAGAAATTTAATTGCTGAAAAGTAATTACTAACATAGTTATACTAAAGACCATTAATTTTCCTAAATTACCTTTAGGAAAGGCCAATACAACATCAACCTTTTTTTCTTTACAATGCACATTTTTGGCAGGAACAACTTGGCCTATGTTTTGTGAAACATCCCGTACCATATGAAGCCATTTGGAGAAGTATGGTAGGTGGAGCACTTGAAGAACCTGAGCGGAAATGCGCCGTGTTATCATTATTTGCCCCCATTGTAAAAGACTATGTAGCAATGACTAGTGTAACAGTTAAATACTTGACTCTGTTCTCAACAATATCAGACTGCTCTCGGGAGTCAAAAGTTCACTGCTCTTTTGGATCAACCTTTCTAAATATGTCCGTTTTCTTTATCTCCTTGCTACGCAAAATCTACTGGTTGCTATCTAGAATATTTTGACAGTGAAGAAATTTAATTAGAGGCAAGATTCTACTGCAATGAAAGGAGGACAAGCTTACAAAACTGCAGAGTGCAGAAAATTTCTAACTATCGCTTTCCTAGAGCATGAATTACTTGTTTTGTGCCTCCGACGCCGCGTTCGGCTGGAACTCGCGTTCAATCAGCGAGGCATCAATCGAACACAGGTCCCAGCCAAACGCAGACTCGACACTCGCGTGCAATCTGCGTTAGTCCTACAGTCCAACTGAAATCCCTTCGTTTTACTTTTTTACTGCGAGAGCCTCGCAATGTAGTGTGTAAGCGATGTGCCTTTTAATGTGAAAGCATTAACTGTCACATGGAGCAAAGCCGGCATTGTTTGTAACCGTCTGTTGCAGAAAAACGGCACCCACAAGCAGAATTCCCATTGGCTGCAATGGGTCATATCAGATGCCTCGTCACAGAAACCAGCCGGGCACTCAAGATCAAAGGAGACGTGCCTCAGAAACAAAACACAAATTAAAGCACAGCAACGCAGATGCATCGTCACGGAAGCATTGAAGCCGGAGGGGGCGCCGCGCCTGGGCAGTGGGGGAGCGTGATGTCAACGCTGGTGTGCCGTGAGAAAAAGAAAGACGTGGCGCGCTGCTTGTAGAAATGCGCTGAGTGTAAGAATGCTTTTGCATTCCTACATGTAAGCTGTCTTAAGTGTCTCTGTTTAACTTTTTGTCGAAGAATTAGATCCTTGAGTCAGGCACCACTATTCCCGCAATCAATTGCTTAAGAAATAGCTGGTGCCACATGGCAGAAAACTGGCTTCAAGGACTGCCAGAATGAAACAGTGTGCACATTGAGGAGGAGAGGGGGGAAGTGTGTTAGCACAAAAAGGTAAGCTACAGTAGGCACAAAAGAGACTTTGGGGGAGCTGCGGCTCAATGGAGCCGACGAATCTAGCCTCCTTGGTCGAGGGTGAGCCCACGCTTGCTCGAGCACATGCTCACGTATTTTCGCTCCCAAACCTGTTGGACTGGCGGTTTCCAAAAATGGTCCTTAGAGCACCTCCCACTAGATTTGCACACCACCCTCGCCTGGTACTATGTCTTCCATTTTGAAACAAAGCAGAGAAATACAGATGCATTTACATCAACATAAAAAAAAAGGAACATAGAAAAACAGTAGAAACCCACCGCATCAAGGTTACTTGCACTTGCATCCACCCTCACAATGTCCTTGGTGCCGTAGAAGTGGTCAATCACTTTCATCGTTGTTGTCTCGAACAGTCGCTGCCTGAGAAGTTGAGAAAGTTAGTACGCTCTTTTAGAGTTTCTTTACGCGCATGTGTCATTAAAAATTGGTCGCGTTCTGGCAACAAGGCAAAGCGTGCACGGCGTACGACGGATCCACAGGAGATCCAACAACGGGAAAAGGGCAGGTGACAAAGGTTTCGAGGCTAGGAAGAAACAGTGCGGTCGCTGGCGAGGTGAGAATGGCAGGGAGGAGCCTCAGTTGTCCCGCCTCCGACTCCAGCCCCCTACCTTCGACAACGATTCAATGTCTTGTGCACCCCGAGGGCACGTGCGCGGCCAAAGTGCGGCGGAAGGCACAGAGAGCATGCTGGAGGCAGGGTGTTTGAAAGATGCACCATGCCTTTCTCGTACCGTCAGCGACTACAAAAGAGAATGCAGCCCTTGTGACTGATATGTTAAAAATGTACTAAAAAAAAATAGAACATATGGAAAGAGGAAGGGGCATTGACACAAGGGCAGTTTGTTCCTTTATTTTGACCTCATGAACCGTGAATTGACATATTTTATAAGCCGAGTTCTCAGTCAACCGACCAGAAAGTATGATAGCTGTCTCAGTGAACGAAAGAAATGTGGTCTACAAAATTATGAGAAAATTTTAAGAAAACGATGTCACCCCTGGTCTTCCCCAGGGCTGTGACATCATTGGCCTGAGCCAACTTCGTTCGGGTGCATAGAAAAAAAAAAATCTTTGGAACAGAAGCGCATGCAACGCTGATCCAAGTATGGAAGTGTGCTGGAGACAGGAGAAAGTTCTCAACCTAAGAAGTTGGACGTGGAATAAAGTTGGGTTCACACATTACATTGAGGTGCTAAATGAATACTAGGAACAGCGCTGATTTCAATGTTAGTTAGCACTGATAAAGCACAGCATCGATGCTGTACCACCAATGTGGGGTGAAGTCAGCATTCCATCAGCAAGGTGAGTGCTATTTGAAGTGCTGACCAATAGTGTCGAGGTAGCACTGTGGTGTACGTGAGAATGATCCTTAAGCTTCCGAGCTTTATGCCATTCCCAAGAATACATACCTCTCCAGGAAACTGACGGAGTAATCGTCGGGCCTACCGCTGCCTTGCTCCGCACGTCTGGCAATGCGCATTTTGCAGATTTCATTTGGGCAGTCCAGGAAAAGCACAAACTTGAGGGGAAACTTGTCGGCCATGTCTGCATTCCAGGCCTTCAGCAGCTCGAGGTTTCTAGGAAAGCCATCCAGAAGGAAAGTGTCAGACTTGATCTTTCCAAGTGCCTGCAAAATAAAGAGACAGGAAAAAAAAAAAAAAGATCCGATGGAAATATCTTGGTACAAACGTCACTATCAGCCACTGCGGTGGATAGCGTGACCACCCTCCTGCTAGCGAAATGCGGGACACGCGGGGCAGGGGAAGGGGTAGAGGAAATTTATTAACACGGACACAACGAACCGAGGCTCTGTTAACACTTTTATTATCCTGTACTGTGTATACACCTACTAATTGTAATGCACCGAATAAGCTAAAATAATTTCCACTCCCAGTGATATATTTTTAATGCCAAACATGTTATTAAATGTGTCAAAGTTGAAAACATAAAAATTAACTATATCATAACTGTCAACACTTACTTTTATCAACATAACATATCAACATCAACAACGTATCAACACAAATTTTTGAATGTTATGTTCTTTTTTGACCGTTGCAAGTGTACCAGTCTTTACTAAAAAAAAATCTACAGCAACCTTTTCGCATTGACACAGCAATTTGCAAATAATTATAATATTTCATATTTAAACTTTTGGTGAGCAATTTGTTTTACAATATTTTGCCATTAAAGAGACAGGCACAACGGCACATGTGCGTCGGTTTTCCCGCAAGAACTATGGTCGCTTCCTGCAATGCTTGGATAGAAAATGGAGTACCATTTTGATTCACATGATTACCAGTGACCACCACTCTTCCCTGTTGTTGGGAAGCACCATGAGTTGCGGAGTGAATTTTACGCCAGTCTGAAATGCGGGACATTTTGAAGATTTTGAAATTTCTCGCGCGACGGTCCGGCGAGCCACGGGACGGGTGGTCACCCTATTTGAGGACCCCGAGGGTCTTCTTAGAGTCCCCGAAGCCCTCACTGTTTGCGATTACTGTCTCTCGGAGTTCCGTCCACATTACGGACACTACAAGCGGAGACTTATGCTGCAATTGTGCAGACATCATTGAATGTCGTAGACACCAAAACGTGATGAACAGTGCGATGCGATGACACTTGCGCCTGGCACATGCCTGCCCCAATCCCCAACCCAATCTCGCACCAACGGATGGCCATGTTTTTGGCGGCCCGAGGCCAATGTTGCAGACGGAGCCAAGGTTTCAGTTTCTACTTGTGTCCAAAATTATAGATTTAAAAATATACATCCCATTCTTCGCGAAGCAAATGACGTACCGTAAAATACCGGGGGAGCAAGTCCAGACCATTTTCTCTGAAACTGGATTCATCTAGACATGGGCGCTTGTCCGGTCAAATCGGGCAGTTAGCGTATAATTTGCAGAATTCCCAAGTTCGGAAAATTATAATAGTGGGCGCTTGAATGAAATGGGCGCTTCTGTGGTATTTTACGGTAGTGTCTTTTACTAGGGCTTTTTAATGTGAAATCTCTCATTATCCCGAAATCTTCGGAATTGAGTGGAGTTGCCATTTAACGAGCGTGGAGTACATACTGTATGTTATAGTAATCTGTACCAGAGTCAAACAATATATATAATTTTCAAATATTTGACTGCATATTCTTTAAGGCTGCTAGCATTGAGGTCTACTCAGTATCCTTCCAATCTGAGCCAATCAGAAATCGGCGTTCGGACGTCATCGCAAACCCTGCGTAAGCTCTTCTGCATAGGGATCGCACACTTTTACGTACTTCACAGTGCAAAGCAAAGTTAAACTAATGACACTGTACAGTGTTGGAGCAATAACCGCGTACGTCCCGCTCAAAAACGCCAAAAAAAAAAAAAATGTTCTTACGTTTTTAAGCAGCTCCACTTTGATCCCCGGAGGCACATGTTTACCACCGAGGAGTCGGAATACGGGCCCGTAAGTTGATTCCTCGGTCGCAGTCTCGCGCCTGAACACCTCGCCGACGGAGACGTGCTCGAAGCCGTACTTCTGCGCAGGAGAAAAGCAGAACCGAAACGCGCGTGTGAAACCGACCTATGCCCGAAGTGGAAACCTTCGGGAGTACAAAACGACTGTCACCTGAGCAATTCGTCGGCATACTGTCCCCTTTCCGGATCCGGGTAAGCCCAGAACGAAGACCACGCTCCGGCGTCTTGCCAACTCCTCCATGACGAGGCCGAATCAAAACGATGAAAGAGTTAACTGACCTAGCTAGCATTGAGCGTGTTTCCCATAGAGCGATACTGCGCACAAAACAGCTGCTGGCGAGGCGGCACGTCCGGCACGTCTCTGGAGGTTTCGTCAGTTTCATTTCGGGGCAGTCGCTCGGACGCTTGCCTGACTTGTCCTTGTGCAACCCTCCAAAAGCTACAGATGGATGGATGGATGGATGGATGAATACGGCTGAGCCCTTTGGATCGGGCGGTAGCTTACGCCACCTAGCCATTTTGTTTTACCATTTAAGCTTAGAATATTTAAATGTGAAATCTATATTCACTCCGCAGTGCAAAGAAAGTGAGGCTATGAAACCCCCTTGCCATCAGTGGATAAGAAAATACCTAGTTTTCTCTCGATTTCTGCCACCATTCACTTAATCTTTGCTTGGTAATCTCTACAGTCTTGAAATCCACTCTCCCTTCGCTGTCTCTAAAACCCAATGACTTTATTAAATCTATGTTGTCTTCGGTAGGCATAGGGTGAAGTCCTTTACAGTAGAGTATCAAGTGCTCAGCCGTCTCGTCCTCCTCTCCACAAGCAGTGCACACTGTATCAATTTCCTGGTACTTCACTCTGTATGTTCTGGTTCGCAGAACACCCGTTCTTGCCTCAAACAGCAATGAGCTTCCCCTAGAATTGTCATAAATGCTTTCTTTGGCAATAACTCTTTTGTTTAATCTATAGCTTTCCAGAGCCGTCTTTGTCTGCATTCCCTCTAGCCACCAATCTCTTTCTGTGGCCTTAACTTTCTTCTTAACTGAGACTTGCTCTTCCGTATCTTCGTTATAGCCCAAAAACTTTCCTCTTAATTTCCTAGTGCGCTGTCTCCACTTTGTGTCTACACTCCTCATGTATAAATAGCTGAAAACCTTTCGTGCCCATTGCTCCCCGTCCATTTGCCTCAACCTATCCTCAAATTCTACCTTGCTCACCGCTTCCCTGCTCTCAAATGATGCCCATCCCATGTCTCCTTGTACTCCCTGGTTTGGCGTTTTGCAATGTGCCCCCAAAGCCAGTCTACCTACTCCGCGCTGTTTTATTTCTAGTCTCGCATGCACTTCGGATTTCATGCATAGCACAGAAGCCACCGCCCTATGCGCCGCCCACGTGGTGCTTGGTTGTTTAGTTGTGTTTACAAACAAACCAGTTCGCCGCCTGGGGCGGGTCGGGCGGCGTCGGGGAGGTTGAAAAAAGTCGTGACAAGGAAAAAGGAAAATAGCAATACCTATATCTTCTTGGGGAAAAAACAAATTAAATGCACCCCGTTTTTCCAACTTCGCTAGCCTAGCTTCACGTGACATTTTAACGGCAATTTCTTCTGTGTTTTCTCCAACTCTGCGCCCTATGTACTGAGGACGCGGGGGTTCAGGCAGTTCAGGTTGCTTTTGCAAAAGCCGCGCCCGGTTTTGGCGTTTTGGCCTCGAGGACGGGGCTGACGGGGCTCTCCAGCCTGGCTAGTAAACCATGTGTTTTCGAGACGATTCACGGAAGAGCAAGCCATGAGCAACGGTGAACATGATCTTCTGAGCAGGTTGGGGGGGAGGGGGAGGAGGGGAGGCGGCTGGACAGGGGTCGGGCGTCCGCATTTGCACAAAATCAGGTTCGCACTAAAAAGTCAACGCATCTGACCCTCGGGCCATGATTTACTGTCTCACCGTTTGACACCAGGAAAAGGCGCTTCAGAGAATGCCCAGTCCACAGTCGCAACCGTACAGTTGTTCTTTCCGAAAGTTTGTAGCGAGCATCACTATTTTGCCAGCTCTGGATTTCTCCATATGTGTGTTCGTTTTACATTGATCATAGGGTGCCTACATGTCTGTCTGTCTGAGGGTGAAGACATCCATTGTTGCCCTGAATGTGCCAGCTGGTGACGCTCTCACGCACTCGGAGTCGGTGCCATACACGGCTCTGCTCGGTGCGTGACTTCGGCGGTAAAATGGCGTCTATGCATTAGCCAAAGCTACGCGCTCGAGCTGAGTGACACCAGATTGCGCGCGCTTCAAAATGCATTAAAAAAAAAAATGGCGGAAAAATGGCTGAGATGTCACCACTCAAGCAAAAGCGCGCGTGTTTATAAAGGAGCTCCAATTGATCACGGCTTTCCATTTTCTGGGATGAAGAAAGCAGTCACCTCTGACCCCTGCCGAGACTCGGAGTCGGATTCTATTAAGGCAATCCTTGTCCCAGTCACTCCTAGCAACCTTTGCCCTCCCAAATTCACTCATCTGTCAAAGGTACGCCTAGAGATTTTCTGGCAAAACTAAAGTTGACCAGATAAATACAAGACCCGTGCAGAGAAAGCAGGAAGAGCTCCACTTATTTATGTACATTATCTGAACTGTAGTTTTAAGTTGAGGTGACGAAGGAGCAGGGGCGGATCCAAGGGGGTGGGGCGACGGAGGCAGCCGTCCCCCCTTCTCGGAGGGCAATTTGACATGGCTAAACCCCCCCCCCCCCCCCCTCATTAAAACTGATTACCGGCCTGCCAGGTGGTAGAAGGCTCGGTACTCAAGGACGAGGTTTCAAAATAGGGTGGGTCACACCCTAGCAGGCACACTTAAACTCTGAACTTGGAAAACCACTCCGTCGAATGGGAGAATAGTATTGTTACAAATTTTTCCGCCCCGCCCCGCTCCCCTCCCCCAAAAGGGAATTCTGGATCCGCCCCTGTGAGAAACAATTTATTTAATATTAAAAAAAAAAAAAAAAGCCCACCACAAACACTTACCCGAAAACAAATGATAATCGGGGCCCTGCATTTGTGGACTTTGTATTCTGGGTATTGGTACTTCCATAGCCGTACTTCTCAGTTTGGTTCTCTCTTATAAACGTTAGCTTTTATGTCTTCGCGTTATCAAAAGTGAAATAATGTTTTTTTTGTTAGTTGTGTACTTTCTAAGCTCGCACACTCATTTTGGTACGTTATCTAGTTTTCTCTCTCTTAATGTTTTGAGTATTATGAAAAGACAGACTGTTCATCGGGGAATCTAAAATGTCATGAAGGAAGTGTAGTTGGTCGATGGGATCTTTGAACTGTATTTTATTTGAAGACTCGAAATATTGTAGAAAAGCTTCCTTGCTTGCATATTTCCTCGTGTTCTAAAAAATACAAAATGTCACAAAAAAAAAAAAAAATACAGGTTTTTTTTTATTGCAAAAATAAACTATGCATCGCCTAACGCTCATTCTCCGCCCAAAGGTAGCGCTAGAGGTCACAACCAGGTGCAAAGTTTCAGCCCGATCCGATTTTCTAAAAAGTTCAATGGGAAATCGGAGCCCATCTTTTCCCATTTTCGGTTTCTGGTGCCCATAGAGCCCCATGTATTCGGAAACTCCGTACGCCGCCATTCTCCCATAGAACTTTTCAGAAAATCACTTATAACTTTTCAATAAGATATCGGATCGGGCTGAAACTTTAGCATCTGGTTGTGACCTCTAGCACTACCTTTGGGCGGGGAATGAGCATTAGGCGATGCTTAGTTTATTTTTGCGGTAGAAAAAAACCCGTAAACATTTTTTCGTGACACCCTGTACATGACTGGGCTTCCAAGAATATATTTTTAGTTCTTAGAAAGTTGCTGTGTTGCAGAACCTGATAAATTAACAAATGACCGGTGGTCCCTTCGTCAGCAATAACATGTTGGTCCTGATATGTTTATACCCCGTCGTTCACTATCACGGCAGTTTTGCGTCCGGTCTGCAGGATTTGAGTAGAGAGATGTCACAATACTTGGGCGGGGGACCATATCACTTTTACATAGACATTTTCAAAATTTATACGTGTGCGAAAGTTTTGCCCACATCAAGAAAAAATCCTGCTGATGCCCATGGTCGCAGCCATTTGCCATCCCGCCGGAACGTCATACTAGTCGTACGTTGTTAGTAGCGTACCGTACCTGTACAGTGTGAACGCATCGCAAAAGGTGATTTTAATACGTCATTGGTCGTAACTTACCTTCACGTCTTGCAGTGTCACAGAATCCACATATTTTGCACCGCGACAGGGTTCGACTAGGTTCAATAAAGCTTCGGCGCAGCAGACGACAGAGGCTGCGCAGTACAAAGGTGGGATGAAAAAAGGGGCAGACCCCGTGTGTTCGTCCGACTCGGCTCTGGGGTGCTCGAACGCTGTTGCCATGGTAACCTTCATCTGCTCGCATATGCCACATGGTAGCGGGAGGAAAGACGATGGGATAATGGGTGTACCAAGTACACCCATTATTCGTCGCAGGCGCACGCGGGCTTTTGGGAATTTTGCAAAGGGTCTATTGCAAACTTTTTCTGTGGGTCTATGGGCGTACGAGTGGTTTTTCAACGTAAATCAAGTTATAAACAGCCTTGGAGATCGCTTGAAGATTGTATGCGAAGAATAAAATAACACTTCTATAAACACCATTTTTGTTTCGATAGGATAAGCATTTATTAAACGCGAAAAAGTGTAGAATCGATCGATCACGCTGCCATTAAATTGCAAATGCTCTCCATGGTTTGAGTTTTGCACTCTTACTTGAGGCCCTCTAGTTGACCACCCTGCGGACTGCGCCTGCTGCTCCTGCATTTGGTGGTACGTTGTCAACAATAAATTGAATTAATAATGTTTTTTAAACTCCCGTTACTAACTTGCATGGAGATAACGATGATATACATAATCTTGTTTAATTTAAAAAATGTGTTCCGCGTGTTTTGCCAAGCACGCGGCAAGAGTTTCGTGGTATTTAGAGCGCTATATAGCTCCTTCGGAGCAGAGTAGCGCAATCTAGAATGCCATCTCTCAGCGACTAGCCGGTGAACGCCCAGGGGTTTCAACTCCGGTAAAAATGCATGGGGAACATGAGAAAATCGCTGTTTCTTGATTATTTTGGGGTTGTACAGAACGACAATAGTTTCTGACGTAATAAAGGTACAGTTTAAAAATTTCCTGAGCGCCTGTATGCAGCAGACGACGAGGCGATGTCACACCATTCACGTGACCCGCTCCGGCCAATCCATAAAGTCCATCTCCTGCATAAAACAATTGTCTGCTTCAAACGCCATTGCTTTAGAAATTGCCTTCTCAAAATTATCAAACGCATCCAGTATTATTCAAACTTTGATTAAGCGTTCAGTGCTTTACCAACTTTGCGACAGACTAGTTTCGAAAAGTGTGAACTAGGCGTTT